AGCTGTGCGTCTTGTTAAGTTTCAAGCTTACATCAACAGATGGCAGGCTTGTTGACGGCGACGCGACACACCACGCCGCGCAGGTCGTTGACCGCCTGGTCCTGGATCGCCTGATCAAATTTCTAGAACAAGAATTAAAGTAATAAAATTATATTAACAGTATTGTATAGAATACAAATGCCTATACTCAGTCAAACAATTGGTTATTAAGGGAGTACTAACTGGCTGTGGAAGTTAGATTTATGTTTCTAATATTATTTAGTTTACGAGATGTTAAAAAATATAATTTGTAATCAATTTGTCGGTGCAATGTCGTGCGCCTTGCTAAGGACGAGGGGAAACGAAGAAATGTAAAGTATATGTAAACCATTTCGACATAAAGATACTTTTAGATTTCTAGACAGTTCTTCTATTCTCTAGTAAATAAGCATAATCACCCCTCCCCCATAGATACAGTCTAAATCATTAGCAAATAATCCTACATTTTCAACTTACCAACATCAAACATAACAAAATCATGTTTTACTATAATCTGTCACTCACGACTTCGCCCGCGCGTAATTAAAAAGAAAACTTTATGTGTCTTTCCAGACTACATGCCAAATTTCAGCGAGCTTCATGCAGTCGTTCTGGAGGTAAATTCTAACATCCATCCATCCATCTAAACATTCGCATTAAGATGAATCGATAAAAAGCCACATAAATCACAAATAATATGACCTTGAGCTATACTGACCTCATTTATAATAATAGTGGGCACGAAGGATAGAGGGCGTTGCACCAAATCAGTCTTGTCTCCATACGAGGCGAGTAACGCGTCGCCTTGTTCCCCGCTAGCGCAACGCTTTATCTTGTCAGAGTTATTCGATTTGTTCACTTGACCCAAACACTGAAATAAAATAGAAAACAGTTAAATACGAAATTCTATAAACATAGAAAAACTGCGCTTCACTAAAAGTTGGGAGGACAAAGCAATTTTTAGTGAAACACTTTTTCTTAAATAACATTACCTACCGTTTTTTAATCTCTGTATAAAACATATCGTCATCTCTGTCATTATCTTTGACAAAACAGAGATAACAATATTTTTAAACAAAGATTTTGTTTTCAGAATACTTGTGTGCAAAAAAAATGTTAAAATGTGTGTACAATTAAAAAAATTTAAGTGGTATTAAAAAATTTCTCTCTTACTGGCTGTTTTTATTACTTATCACACAATTAAAAAAAAATAATCGTAATAGCCGCCATGTTTGTAATTTGACGTTTAACTTTTACTTTTCTGGTTTTGAATCGAAATGTGAAGAAATCTTACCGTATCAAGAGATTTGTCAGGACTCGCGTTGCCCATCAAACACATCACAAGCTCCATTTTGTCTGTATCCTGTAAACTGCGGTCCTTCAGAATACAAGCTTGTACCTGGAAATAAAATGTTTTCAGTTAAATTACACTCCCGAAAACAACAAACTATTGTTCAATACTCCGTCTGAGAGGAATAAAAGAACTTAATTAGAAGGCTATGTGTTCTTCCAGACTATATTCTACATTTATGACAAATTTCAGCGAGATCCATACAGCCGGTCCATAGATACCTTCTAACAAACATCCATCAAAATCCATTTACAATATTAGTAAAATAATAAACGAAAAGATAAAAAATGTACATATAAAATACTTCGTAATACTAAAATATTTACTTCCTACAGATCTATACAGAAAACTCAAAAATTGACAATTTTTTCCATTCCCTAGCAAATAAGCAATACTTAAAAACAATCCTACCACAACCCCCCCCCTCCTTCCCTCTACATCTAGATCGTCGACTTTCGATGCCCTTGATTTGACGAACATATTAACAAGTTGTTTATTTATATTTTTACCTTATTCCCGTAGCACTCGTCAGGGCCGTGTTGACAAGTGAACTGCCATTTTCCATCAACTTTGTCGTGCTGAAGAACAAAATGCAATAAATAAATTTAATTAAATTAATTATTCGATACATTTACACATGTTTTGTTAACGCGATTATATAAATTATCTTTTTTAATATAATAAAAAAGTTGTGAACGACCAAACATTCACAGGAGATCTAACACAAATAACAAAAAATGTTCGAACGTTATTGGTTTTAAATTTGAGCAGCGCCCCTATCGGGTTTAAAGTACACTAACAAATCTTATTACAATTATCAATAACATTACTAATGCTTTCACGAAAATCGTGCTAAAACACCCATAAACATTTGCAAGATGTTAATATTAACAAAACCTACGTATCTAAGTATAAATTTTACAATAATTAAACATTTAAGACTAATACGATTGTTAATTATTAGTGACAAAATTTGACTCACAGTAGCCTTGCCGTACGGCACAAGTTTGACCTTCACCGCGCCCCTGAAGTCTCTCCAGACAGGCGCAAGTTGTGATACGATAAAACGTTTGCTGTCAGGACATAACGCTTCGTAATAAACTGCTATTTTCACCTGTTGAATTAAATATAATCAACATAAAATACACAAAGTAAAAATTACAAACTACAATCGAAAGATGGCGTAAACATAACAGCATGAGACTCGAGGCCTTGCTCCGATGTAAACGCTTAAAAACAAACTAAATTACGACAATATTCGTAAAAATTAAAAATACTAAAAAGTGTTTTTAGTCAACACAATACCATTAGATTATTTTACAATATTTCTTCATTTTAACTAATAACTAGCTGTCCCCCGTGACTCCGTTCGCACTGAATTATAAAAATAACCTATAATTAGTAGTCTATGTGTTCTTCCAGACTATGTTCTACATTTATGCTAAATTTCAGCGAGATCACTACAGCTGTTCTAGAGATATCTAGAAGATAAACATCCATCCATACATCCCAAAATTCGCATTTATAATATTAGTAAGATTAAAACGAGGTAAATTTATGGAAGCGACTATTACCTTGTTATCATCCCTTTTGTTTTTAGCCAGTGCGGTACACAAGATGGCCGCCAGCACCATAAAGAATAGAGTACGCATTTTGTTCTGTAACAAAAATTTATAGAAAACATGAGTAGAAATAATTATTAAATGTCACTATTCAAAGAGAATAAGTACTTTTAAATCGCTGTAGATTTTTACACAAAACATTTTTAGGTTAGGAGGTTACAGTAACTCTAATGTCATTTTAAGCACTTTAAAAGTACTTTCACCGTACATGCTAATGTTTCCGTTTGTCAAGCAAGTAACGTACGCCATGTTTGTTTGTGTTTTTACTGTTTTTTTAATAGGTCAATGTTCTTAAAGCTTTATGTCCGTTAAACATTTTCATAGTAAAAAGTGTAAATAATTTTGTATTATTTTTATAATTAAGCAGTAATTAGTCGATTTATTTCTTACATTAAAAAAAAAACTTAGTAAGTAAACTGTGTTCTTCCAGACTATGTTTTACTTATGTCAAATTTCATCAGGATCCATTGAGTCGTTCTAGAGATACATTCTAACAAACATTCGCGTTTATAATTTCAGTAAGATGTAAGACATTGTTGGTAAAAGAGTTTGTTTTTAAATAAAGTTTCTAACCTACGTAACCTTAGTCAATTACCTATACTGTATCAGTGAAAAAGTACAACTTTCTCGAAAGCCAAGCTTTCTATACGACTTTCTAATATGTACACTTCTGTACTAAAGTCTTCGTTACATCAAGACTGAGTAGATTGTTGATACGACAAAGTTAAATGTATTTCAAATAAGATTTTGCAGAAACGTGTATCCTTTAAGCTTTCAAATCAAATAACTAATGTAAAATAGAATCTCCTTTATATAAAAACACTAGCTGTCATCCGCGACTCTGTCCGCGCGGAATTAGAAAAAAACTTATTTAGTCGCTTATATGTTCTTCCAGACTATGTTTTATATGTATTTCAAATTTCATCAAGATCCGTTAAGACGTTCCGGAGATACCTTCAAACAAACATCCATCTAAACATTCGCATTTATAATATTAGTAAGATTTTTATCAACTTGAAGATTCATAAATTCATTTTCATAATTTTTTGTGAATAATCCATACTTTTCTTATAATATTTGACAGTTCGAGTTCATTGACCTGTATATTTTTATTTGAATCGTAATTTAATTTAATTTCTTCGTTATGTGCAATTTTATTATGCTAGTTATTGTTTCTTGGTTTAATCTGTATTACCTATAATAAAACATTTTCTATCTTTCTTCTTCTTCAATTAAAATTGACGTTCAATCGATAAATTATAAGTCGATAAGTTTTAGTACACATCACTATGCCATTTTAGTGCGTCCTTAAATTGAGTCTCGGCTTGTGCAATCACATTGGTAACTGCAAGAAATATAACACGATACAAATGTAACTGGATTTAAACGTTTTGACCCTTTCATTTTTATCACAAATAAAACTAAACTATACCAGTATCTTGATAATATTACAAAGTAGCTGTCACCCGCGATTCCGTCAGCGTGGATATATAAAAAAAACTTAATTAGTTTAGCCCACCCATCCACATTACATCCATCTAAACATTCGCATTTATAATATTAGTAAATTAAATAAAAAGCAGCTCTTCAAGCCATAAATTAAAAAAAAAGAATAAATAGTATCCTATGTCCGTCTCCTGGCTCTAAGCTACCTCCTCAACAATTTTCATACATATCAGTAAAGCCGTTCTTGAGTTATAAATAGTGTAACTAACACGACTTTCTTTATATATTTTATATATATATAAGATTTTTGGATGGATGGATGTTTGTTTGAAGGTATCTCCAGAACGGCTGCACAGATCTCGATGAAATTTGTCATAGATGTAGAACATAGTCTGGAAGAACAAATAGACTAATTAGGTTTTTTCTTTAACTGCACCTGGACGGAGTCGCGGGCGACGGTTACTTATCAACACTTTTATTTTAACGTCATGATATCTTTAACTAGTTTAAAACAATGAGATTATATAAGAGAAAACATTACAAATGTGTAATTCCCCGTAGGATTTTCCTCTTACTAAAATAACTGATTATTTTTTGTCTTATGTTTTATCGTTTAAAATATTTCAAACAAATAATAAACTGAATGTAAATTACGCGTCGCAGAAATAATTCCATGATGATCCTGTTTTTATCGTTCCGTACATCGAAAGGTAAAAACCGGAACCCTTATAGGATCACTTTGTCGTCCGTCCGTCAAGACACTTTTTTTTTTAAATAATTTATATTATGTATGCAATAAATCACCCTTAACTTAGGGTTGGCTCCGAGCCCCTCGGTGGGGACGTATAGTGAGCTGATGATGATGAAACAAATCAATTTAATTATCTTTATATATTAACATTAGTATATAAATAGTTTTTTTCTTATCACATATTATAATATTGCATTTGACTCCGTTGACTTTAGATAAAATTTGTTGTAAGTTTAGTTATTAACAAAAATACACGCAAAGTTTACTGTTATAATTATTGCTTCTAATCTTACTAATATTATAAATGCGAATATTTAGATTGATGTTTGTTAGAAAGTATCTCCAAAACGGCTGTATGCATAGCGATAAAATTTGTCTTGCATATAGAATATAGTCTAAAGGAACATATAGGCTACTTATTAAGTTTTTTTCAAACCGCGCGAACAGAGTCGCGAGCAACAGTAATTAGTAAGTTATAACGTTCAGTACTCTTAAGAAACCTTAGCTTAATTTCTACGGCTGTCTGTCCATTGCCAACTCTATTTGGGACAATAAAATAACTAAAAAAGCGTAATAGCCGTCATAAATAGAATTTGACGCTTCTCTGTTTACATAATTTCGACATCACAGGGGACCGAAGAGCTGGCAGCTACCTCGGTCAAAGAATTAGTTTAGCTGTCCAAAGAGGGAACCCTGCCAGTATCTTCGTAACCTTACCTAAAGGGACTGCCTTTAATAACATATTTTGGTGAATTATTCGTTTTTTTTAATACTTTATTTTATATCATAGTTTTAAGACTATTTCGACGTTGTATTGAAATGATATTAAAATTAATATTACGATAAGGTCTAAAACAGTGGTAGAGCGAGCTTTAACATCTTCGCACGAATTATCTCAGCTCGCTCGGTGAAATACCACGACCACACAGAGGACAGGCGTCAAGTGGAAGCTATTCCACGTACAGTCTGATGAGTGTGCGTCCCGGAGGCCTAATTTAGTCCTCTTTACCTTCCCACCATTTTTCTTATAAGGAAAGGATGGGAAGTGGAAGTGGTCTTTCCGAATGAGAGGATGCATGGAAAGGGAAGATATTCTCTTTCTGTGCATCCTCTCCTCCGTGGATTAAAGGTAGGCAACGCATATGCAATTACGTATGTCTATGGGCAACGGTTACTTCGCTATTTCAGCGATTTCAGGTGGCCGCTCGCTTGTTTGCGATCTTATGAAAAAAAATAAGACAAAACGACGAAGAATATGCTCCAGATTTAATCAGTAAAAGATTTATATTAAAGATAAATACATACCCGTTTAATAATTGCAAGAAATTTTAAACAAAGTCTTTTATATATTAACATTATTAATTTTGAGTTAATTTAACACGTTTTTTATCGACAAAGGTCAGTCGAACAGTGCGCTTCATGTCAGCCATCTTGGAGACAGTTGATAATGTTTTATTGTTGTATATAATCACGAACATAAATAAAGTTATTGCTTTGGATATAGAGTTTGTATAACCTCTTTGGTGTTATTTATTTTTAACACGATATTGAAGACCTAACCGTAATATGTAACAGAAATACGAGACCCTTGTAAGGTTAGGTTACAGCTGACGACTATAGTTTTAAACATGTTATATTATTACATGTCGGTAATTGGGCACTACCACTATCCCTTCCCGGTCGCAGATTTATATATCGCAGAGGATAAGTTGGCAAAAGAGCAAACTGCCAGCATTTGCCATACCCAATTGCAGATTTGTTGCCTAAGTTTGATCGACGGAGGATGCACAGAAAGAAAATATTTTCCCTTCCCATGCACCTCTTCATCTGGAAAATCCAATTCCACTTCACATCCTTTACTTATAAGAAAAAGGAAATGAAAGAGGACTAATTACGTCTAAACTAGATGGAAAGATGTAATGCTAAAAGACATGAATGAGTGCCAAGTCTCAGAAGATCTGGAAGTGAAGTGGAAGAGACATATTGGGAAAGCTGACCCCACCACCTTGGATACGAACTAGACAGAGCTACATATTCTGTAGTTTATAATATCATATACAAAAAGGCCGGAAATGGCCGTAAACAACGACTGTTATGTTTTTTAAAAAAACTTATATATTCAAAATCATAATTTCATATTTTTTCCAACAGAAGTGTAACTGCTTTTATCAGAAAAAGATTGCAAAAGTATCTCGTCATTGTAGTCGCGCTATAAATTAACTGACATCGCGACAATCATAAAGGTCAATGATCTTACAATCAACATACCTTATATACGAGTTTTTCTCGATAAGACAAATGTCAAAGGTTTAATTATTGTGGCGCTAAGATAATACATTAAATTATAACACGTACAAAGCATTGAATTCGCTATAAATTATCAAGTAGGCACAAAATATCACGGCTTATAACCACTCCATGTATACAGGTCAGTGTTTAGAAGTCAAAATCTACGATGGTTCCAAAAACACTAATCGTGAGTTTCTGAGACTGAAATCTCTCCGTTAAATCATATTGTTATCTGATATATATGTTCTATAGAGATATTTCGGTCTTAGAAACTCACGATAACTTAATTTTCCCTTTTATTGTACTTCAGCGCAAATTTTTAAATGTAACTTAAAATCTTATATAAAAGAAAGTGGTGTTAGTTACACTATTTATAACTCAAGAACGGCTTTACCGATATGCCTGAAAATTGGTGAGTAGGTAACTTAGAGCCAGGAGACGGACATAGGATACTATTTATCATTTTTTAATTTATTTTTAGTTTTTATATATATCCACGCGGACGGAGTCACGGGCGACAGCTAGTTATAGCTAAACAAAAAAAACATGGTATTACTCATATTTTTAACCACCATAACGTAGATACAATAGTGTTTGCGCAAAAATCACGTCCGTTAACAAAATCCTATCGTAATGTTGCAATAAAGATTAGAATCGCTTACTCGTGTCGCACGTTTACTTTGCTTTAACGGACAGAACCTTGAAACGAGTACATACGAATATCAACCTTACGGCAAAAGACTTATGAATTGTGCAAATATTTTGTCTGCGATGCTTTTTTTTAAAGATCTGTGGTTTGTGGACGGAAGCTTTTGTTACTCTGGGTTCCAGAGACAATTTTTTTCAAACATATCGTTGTCTCTTTTCTGTCAAAGATAATGACAGGGACGACGATAGTGGTTTAACATGCCTACACTTAAAATTAAATCAAATTTCTTTATTATTAATTTATTTAACTTGCGAAATTCTACAATTTTGGCAAGTAAAGACAAGACTTGAGGAATTTTAAGATTAGTTCCTAGTATTTTATTGCATTACCTAAAGAAGTTAAGTAAAAAACGGCACAAAGATGTTCAGGCTGTCCCTGCATACGTTGAGCTGACTCCTTTAACCCCATTTTTCTTTGACATTTGGTATAAATCTGTGATTTATTTCTCTTGTATTTTGTTAATAAATGTGTTTCTTTCTTTCACCTAGATTAGTAGTTCAACATAAACATAGCTCACGTAACGCCCGTACTTCAAAAGACACATTGGACTTTTATTTGACGCACTCCTAGCAAACCTCTATCGCCCATACAAGCTAATGCGTTCATGCACTTCACTTATTTATTTGTAGCTTCCCTAATCTGGTCGTTGTTATTCTTTACAGTAGTTACGAACTTAACTTTCAAATAAATTTTCTTGTTTACAGTATATAAGTAGGATATCAATATTACTAATTACTTCTGCTTAATAAATAAATAATTTAAAAAAGGTTTTTGATTGATAACAATATTTTTCTTTTTAAAATAGATGCATTTAAAATTATCTGATTAAAATCTTAATTTATTTCCAAATAACAGTCTTATTAAATATGACATTTCAAAGTTAATATATTTTTTGAAATATCAGTAACGTTTAAGGCAAATGTAATCAATTATGCCACACACAAAAAAAAACTATAAAAACCTTAACAAACCAGCACATGTAAGACATATTAACAAAAAAACAAATAAGTTCACATACCTTTCGAGTTGTTTTTTTTGAATTTGCTAACAATGGCCGTCCTTGGACTTACGAAATAACCACTCTCTTTATAACGGACGAATTACGCGCGGCTTCAGAACGCGCGCCAAACGTCGACTGACTTAGGTCGGATAAAATCGACCGGAGCCTTGCCCTGCATGCGATTCTACTTAAGGCGAAACTATACGTTTAATATCTTTATTTTATCATTTATGAAGATAATTTGTCTATTTTGTATAATACATAAAATATACCTAACCTAAGTAATATTCGGCGCATTGTGGCTGTCATTCAAAAAAAAAATTTGGCGCCCAAAAATTTAAATTACAATTTTTTTTCTCATTCTCTCTTCCAGTCTTCAAGCTCGGTTTATTTTTTAATTAAAACAAATAGAGTACGTGATCTTGTTAGTATTTATAGACGTAGAAATAGCAAATGTGGTCTGAATTTGAATTCAAATTTAAAACAAATAAATGTACTTGATAAGTTGTAAATCGATTAATATGCTTAGAAACGAAATTTAATTTTTAATCGAAGTTTCTTACATTTAATATTAAATATTATATTATGCTTGACTGGAACTTAACATTATTATGCTGCGAAAGGCGCGCGTGGAAGTAAAGTCTCCTTACTAGGGTTTAACAGGCACAATTAAGAATGAGTTAACGTAAAACTGTCGCACAAAAAGCAACAATAAGGAGCATAATCTACCGACTCTGAATACTATTAAATGTAGATTTAGTATGACAAATCTATAACACTTATTGATTGCTAAGTTTAATTGAATTAATTGAAGGAGTTAAAGTTAAACATCTATACCAGTATAGACCGACATAATTATCTGACCTAGTGGGCATAAGTCAAACTAAATTAGGGGAACTCACTAGCGCATCCCTGTCACTGTCAAAGTCAATCTCGTCGTACTGTGCAGTCATGTCATGTTTTTTTTATGCCAATTTTGATTTTTCTGCCAGAACTTCGGCGATAGCAGCGCCTCTTACCTCAGCTTAGAATTGTTGAAGTATTTTTTGAATTTTTAAACAAAGTACCGGTATTAAAAAATCGATATAAAAATATCGGTATTTTAAATGTGTACATCACTATTGTCTGTAAGTACATAGTGTATATTACACGAGTGTTAATATTCGTTCCATCGTGTACTCATAAGCCGTATCAGGACTAAAGGTGCGTTTATACCAGAGATTTCAAGTTTTTACTGGTTTCGGTGAAGCTGAATCACTTGTTGGTACGTTTTTATCGTAACAAAACTCAACTTTATATCTTTTTTTTTACACCCCGTATTTCTTTAATCTTACTAATATTATAAATGCGAATGTTTAGATGGATAGATGGATGTTTGTTTGATGGTATCTCCGGAACAGCTCAACGGTTCTTGACGACATTTGGCATAGATGTAGAATATAGTCTGGAAGAACGCATAGACATTACACATTAGTTATTATTATATATCTGGATGGAATTGCGGGTGACAGCTAGTATAGAAATAAATTGAAATTATTGCACCAAATACCAAATCTGAGTAGATATTTCTTTAATTAATTGTAGGATAGCGTAGCTTCGCTCGCCAACGGGCACTTTTAAGTCGAACTGTGTGGATTTGTCTATATCTACAGAGATTACATGTGTTGTGGACACACCTTAAGTTATATTAAATCACAGGTGCTTGATTTATTCAGCCTTGTTGTTTTATATTCAACACATTAGTTATTTACCTACCATTTACTGGCATGCAATGTACATATTCTTATGATTGGTCTACATAATATTAATTACGCATAACCTAACCAACATTTTTATTTGATGTTTCAAGATAATAAAATAGATTTTAGATGACAAAGCCTTTTACCCGAAAAACCCACTAGATATTTTTTTATTTCATTGTGACCTTTAACCATTGGTTCCCAAATTTATTTTGTCTACTGCCCACTTTGAGAATAAATATTTTTTAGCGACCCATATTTTCACATATTTAAAAACCTTATTGTGACCTATATATGTATATTAACGGAGAATTCTAAACCGCCCAGGCCTCTACACAACGCCCTCATTTTCTTTCTGGGTCTCTTACCGCCCCTGTAGACCTGCAGCGCCCACAAGGGGGTGTTATGGCTCACTTTGGGAAAGACTGCCCTAAACGAATGAATCGATTTTGATAATAAAATGATATTAGATTCAAATTCTTCCCCGTATTAGTGTCATACAATTAGTCGCTTTTATTGGGTTTTCGATCAACAAATATGTCTAAGCTTTATCGAATTGGCTGCAAGTTTTTATATCAGATAAAAAAGCAAGACTTTGAACTTACAATTTGCAAGTTCATGTACCAGGTGTGCATAAATTATGTGAATTAATATGCACGCTGCGCCGTCACCGATCTAAAAGCCGTTATAAACGAGGTGAAAGGCTTGAATAACTGTTGTTCTAATATCTTGGTAGTTTTTATTCAGTGCCATCAAAAAACTAAAAGAGGCGATAGTCTAGAAGTCTGGTTAACTGATTAGGTTCCTATTTGATTGATAATTATAGACGTATTTCAATATTTTTATTTTAATATATTAGCCTAGCTTATAGTCCAAAATTAAAAAATTAAATAAATATTTTATTGTTATCTGTGCATTGCTTTTAACAGTATAGATTAAAAATATTGAAAGTTTGACAGTTCATCGATGAATACTCTATGTTTGGGTCAAAAAATATATTTTTTAAGCTGTGAGGAGCTGATTTGCCATAATATAAAACCCATTAACTTACAAAATATTGCATTATTAATATTTAATAGTTATGTAGTCATGAGCTTTAATTTTAACATAAGAAAAACATTAATGATATCGGTTGTCTGTTAAAAAAAATGTCCCGACCAAAGACACACATGCTCTTTGGTTTATTTTGATTGGTCAATTCAATTTTATTTTTATCTTCCTATTATCATATTGATGACACATTCGCAACCGGTAAAAACAGGAAAATGTGCATTTTTTTGTGGTAAAAGTTTTTGTATTGTGTTTGTGAAATCGAAAAGTGATTTTATAGTAACTTCCAATGACTGTGGTAAGCTATATTATTAAATTTGCTTAAAAGTGTTATGGCGGGAAAATTGACAATCCTTTTCATTCTTATAAGAAATTTGTTTTTAAAAAACGAATTTGATATTGTTTCATTTAATAAAGTTGTCTTTTTCCTCATAATTTTACCACTTTGAGACATTAAAAGGATATTGATTATCACAATTACAACTAACATAGAACATATTAGTAAAATTATTGTTTTTGCCATTTGGCAGTGAAATCGTGACAAATGCGACTTCTAATATTCAAATATCAACTAAAATTAATTGAAAGTGTATTAATTTAATTATCTGTAAATTGCAACTATAAAGTTATTACGTTTATTTTAACTTAAACATAATTTTTAGCTTTCATGTCCTTGTCCATAACTGCATAACACAAGTCAAGTAAATTATAAATTTGCTTGATTATAGTTACATTATGGAGGAGTGGGAATTAATTGTGGAGAAATATGAAGATGTTGAACGTAAGAGTTTCCTCAAGGCCTGTGAATGCGCTCATCATGTACTCAAAGATGACTTAGCACCATTCGAAATTGGTAATAATTATTTAAAATTTTTATTTTATATTAAACTAGCTGTCGCATGCGATTCTGTCTGCGTGGAGTTAGTAAAACGCAATTAGCCAATGCATTCTTACATACTATGTTCTACAACCATGCCAAATTTTATCGAGATCCATTGAGCCATTCTGGATATATCTTCTAACAAACATCTTACTTCTTACTGACATTATAAATGCTAATGTTTGGATGGATTGATGTTTCTTAAAAGAAATCTACAGAACAGCTGTAGAACATAGCCGAGAAGAACACATAGGCTACTAATTTAATTTTTTTTTCCACACGGATGCAGTCTCAGGCAACTTTGTAATATTAGTAAGATAGTATTATGATAATGATTTCCTTAACCAAAAGAAATATGTTTTATTTACTTTTCTTTTTCAGTCTGGTTTTTAGATACATTAATACTTGAGCCTGTTAATATACTAAAAACTATAGCGGCTAAATCTAAAGAACCAGTTTGGCTTGAACCTATTGGAAAAGCTTTTAAACTACTCTCCGATGTAATTGAGAAGTTTCCGGAAGAGTGTACTCAGCATTTCGAGAACATTGTTAGGGTAAGTGAAAGAGTACTTCACTATAGGTCCCAACTGAGGGTCTCAAAGCCTACCCTAAGTTTTGTGACTAGGTCATAGTCAATGCTGATCCAGTGCGCCACTTCACACATATCTTTGACCATTCTTCACAGATATGTGCAGCATTACGATGTTTTCCTTCACCGTAAAAACATAGGATAAATGTGCATATGTATAGCATAAGTTAAGTTAAGAGTTACATAAGTTAGAAATTAAAACATTTTAGAAGTAGTTATAGTTGTTTAGTTCATAACTAAACTGCAAATGTTGCATACTTTGACAGGGGAGGGTATTTGCTTAATAAAAGATATTTCCCCTTCCTGTTCCCATCAAATCTACTTTTATCTTAAATTCCAAGAGGACTAGAATATATGGGTTTATTTATGTTTAGCTGTGTGAGAAATCATTTGAGGCTAGACCCAGAGCATTCGCTCTACAATGTTTGACATCCTTGGTGCCGTATTATGAGGCCGCTGCGCAGAATTATAACAAACATCTTGTTAGTCTGATGAATGAAAATATTTGTAAAGCAGCACTTGCTGAATTAATTGGTAAGTAATGTTTGGATTTATGGGGTTGAAATTATTTGAATTTTGCAATTTGGAGTTCAAACGGCTAGTTGAATTTTGTGATTTGAAGTTCAAACTGGTAGTTGAGTATTGCAATTTGGGGTTCAAATGACTTATTGCTTTTAATTATTAAAAGTATATTAAAAAACTACTAAATGTACGGTTACTGTTGTAAATTTTAAATTATGTATTCATTATTGTGTTTGCGCCAATTTGCCGTTGCGCTAAGCGCCTACAATTTTATGAAGACCAACATTTTTAACCCTTCGTGGAGTACCTGCACTAATTAAGATTTTGTTAATACGAATTTGAATTTTTAACTATTCATTCTGTCTGTACATGTTGAACGCTAAATACACATCTCTCTCTTCTCTGGCAAAAATCGTTTTATTACTGTAGTTTCGACCTAATAACTATTACATCTTGTGTTTAGTATATGTTTCCTAAGAGTAATTAATAGAGTAAGTAAATAGAGTAAGTAATAAAGAAATTAGTTTCTAGGTCATGTTTTTTTTTTTCAGGTGCGATATGTTCTCATTATACGGATATAGTAAAATCAAATGTGGCTACAATATGGAGGGTTTATCTAAATTTATTCGATTCTAGACAATCGGTAAATAAATCTTACTAATATCTTTTTATTAATATCATAAGGTGGCAAACCAGAGAGCAGCCACCTGAAATCACGAAGTAGTCGTTGCCCATAGGTATACGCAATTGCATATGCGTTGCCTACCTTTAATCGACAGAGGAGGGGATGCATAGAAAGAGAAAGTTTTCCCTTCCCATGCCCTCATCCGGAAAAAAAATAAACTTCCCAACTTTTACTTATAAGAAAAAGGGTGGGTAGAGAAAGTGGACTAAAAATAGGCCTCGGGTACCAACACTCATCAGATGAAACGCAGAATTGCTTCCAATTCACGCCTTCTAAGTGCGAGAGTTTAGTTGTATGGATGGATGGATGTTTGTTAGAAGGTATCTTCACAACAGCTTTATGGATCGCGATGAAATTTGGTATGGATGTACTTTTCTTAGTTCCAACTTCTCCTGCCAGGATACTGTGGTGAGATCCTTACTCCTGGGTGTGTCAGGAGTGCTGAAGTCCTTCGGGAATGATCTGGATATTAAAGAGTTTCCAGTCTTCTACAAGCACTTAGTAGACGCAAGTAATAAATCTAAATGCAGAGATGGTAAGTAAAGCCAATAATATTTTTTTACTTAATAAGTTGTTTTCGCTAATATAGCGAAGTGACTGGAATGCTTATCATATGCAATAAGTTGAAAGGTTTAAATGCTTACCTTGGAACAGAGGAGGGGAGGTAGTATACGAGTATGTTTATAGGAAAGCTGATTGATCATGCGACTTCTTGAATTCGCTAAAACAGCGAAGTGACCGTTGCTTATAGGATGTGCATTTGCAGATGCGTCGTCTACATTTTAATTAAAGGAGGAGGGCGGAGGATGCACAGAAAGTAGACATTTTCCCATTCTATTCGTCCCCTCCCCTTCCCAAGCAATTTCGACTCCTACTAATATTCATCAAAGGAAACGCTGAAATACTTCGCACTAGAAATAAAAAAAAAGTTTTTGTCTTTTAAAAACTTTTTTTTCAAAAGAACACTTTTTATATATTATATTTTGATGCATCTTGTTCTCGTAGTATACCTCAAAATATTGGCGAAACACGCTGACCTCTTCCGAGAGCTTCTAGCTAATGACCCTGAAACAAGGATGTCATTATGGCATTCTTATCCAACTTCGGACCCTCAGGATGTCAACCGGCAGGCCATACTGTCAGTGTACAATGCCATCAAACAGGTTTTCAAAGAAAATCGCAGTCGGGTAAGTATAGGCTAGTTCTAATGTTCGAAATTAAGCCATAAATTCATACCCAAAGATATTTGTAAACTAAAAAGTGGCTAACGAGCAAGCGGCAAAAATTCGCCGTAATAGCGAACTGCCCAATAACTGCAATTGCAGAAGAGGAGACGCACAGAAATAGAATACTTCTCTTTGATATGCGTCCCCTCCCCATCTTTTTGTTATTTTTTTTTAATTAAAAATAATTTTATACATTTCTTCACAATAATAAAGCGTCAATAGCCTAATGGTTAAGTGTACAGATATCCGAACACGAGGTCGGGGGTTCGAATCCCGACATTCGACTATTGTCGTAAACCATATCCTAGCACAAGCATACAGCTTAGTTGGAATCTTATAATAAATATTAGTAAATTTACAAAAAAAATCTGCTAATATAAAAAAAATGTCTTATACCTGAACAGTTTGTGTAATTTCCTTCAAAAATAGTACAAAATGATCACTTTTATATAATTAAAGTGGGTTTCCGAAACCAAAATCTCTGTATAAAACATGGATTTCGGTCTCAGAAATTCACTGTAAGTGTTAATTAACAGTTCAATGCGATAGTAAGAACGGAAACGTTTCAATTTGAGAATTCAAGCAATAGCGAGATCAAGTTTACAGCATTACGCGTGTTACACGCGGTGAATGCGCGTGTTGCCCGCGTACATTGTGATATGCAAGCGTTGTACGCGTTGAGACATTGCCGTCTTACATATGAACATTGTGAAATGGTGAGATATTTAAGAAAAACCTTTTGATCCAGCTTTTTTTATCTTACTAATAATTAATGTATGGATGGATGTTTGTTAGAAGTTTTTAATTTTTTCAAATATTTGTAGATTTTATTTTTGTGGATTTGAAAAAAGTGTGTTTCTCAAGTTGTTTTTTTGGTGGCAAACGAGCGAGCGGTCACCTGAAATCGCTGAAATAGCGAAGTGACTTGCCCATAGACATACGCAATTGCATATGCGTTGCCTAACTTTAATCGACAGAGGAGAGAATGCATAGAAAGAAAATATCTTGCCTTTCATAAAAATATTAGAAATATGATTTTTTTGTTAGATTTTCTTAATCTATTTATTAATTTTGTTTAAAAAAAATACAAAATAACATATTTCTAAAGGATCCGCATGGAATTTGTCATAGAAATAGTTTAAAAAATATTTTTTTAGATACAATGGTGTTTGGAATATAATATAGAAAATGATATAAAATTGTTAAAAAGTGTTTTGGTATTTCATGAAAATATACCTACAAAGTATCAGAAAGTTATTGTAGTTAATATTCTACTGAAAGCCCCACATAGTGTTAGAAAGGTGAGTTTTTTTATATTAAAAAAAAATTTTTTTTTTAGCTATTTTTTTTTTGATAAATTAATGGTTAAATTTTAGTTTAGTATAAATGGAAAAAATTTAATTTTTTTTTAGTTTTTTCAACTGTACTCATTTAGTATGTTAATTATACCTGTATTATATTTTCGTTTTTTTTTATTTTATAAAAAAATACTTGTTATGTGTCACTCTACATTTCACTTCCAAAAGTTTTTTTTAACTAACAGTATGCTTTGTTTTTTTTACTACCAAATTTTTTTTTGCTTTTTCAACCACTAAAAGCGATTTTTTTGTTTTTTTATTCTCTACCCACAGTATTTTATGTTAATTTTTAATCGCAAAAATTTTTTTTTTCACCAACATTTTTTTTTTGTTTATATTCACCGGCAATTTTTTCGTTACTGAAGCATTTTTTTTAACTACCAAAAGTTATTTTTTCATCTATTTCACCACCAAAATTATATATATTTTTTTCATCACGAAGTATTTTGTATCACCAACAGTATTTTTTGTTTATATTTCATCGCTAAATGATATCTTTATATATATAATTCTTCTGTGCGTGTGTATGTCACTGAACTTCTTTCAAACGACTGGAGCGATTTTGATGAAATTTTTTGTGTGTGTTCAAGGGGATCTGGGAATGGTTTAGATTCACAATTTTCATCAAATATTAACTTCATATTAATTTATTCAAATTAAAGACGTGTAGACAGGACAACGTCTGTCGGGTCCGCTAGTTATATATTTATTTCACCAATGAAGCATTTTTTGCTTTTTTTTACTACCAGATGGCAGTAATATTCCTTATAACTGAAACATGTCAGTATTATAAAGATAATGGTAATATTGATAAATATATACATTTATGGAAATCTTTGTTTATAACAAGTTCTGATGAACTCAAAAATAAATCTGGGGAGATTTTTCTAGATTTTATGGAATATTTATATCAACTATTGATGCAAAATAACATGAGTAATTCAGAGGTGAGATTTTTTTTTAATTTACATGTTTTTTTTAAATAAAAAATCTATAAAAAATTTAATATTTGTCTTCAAATAGGATGTGAACTGAAGAATTATATAATTCCTAAAGCCTACAATATTAAATCTAGAATCTAGGTTTACGCTAAATACTTTCCCTTGCCCTGGACAAGATTTTACGTCACCCCCTTTTCTCATTTCATTCATTTATCATCGGCTCACTATACGTCCCTACTGAGGGGTTCGGAGCCTACCCTAAGTTATGTGACTAGGTCATAGTCAACCACGCTGACCAAGTGCGGGTTGATCACATAGCATCACGATGTTTTCCTTCACCGTGAGAACATAGGATAAATGTACATATGTAAATCGGAAATCGAATAGCACATTGTTACGTGACGGGATTCGAACCCAAGACCTGCAGATTGCAAGTCAAGTGCTTGACCCCTGAGCCACCGACGCTCTTCATTCTGCAGGGGGGATAATCTGTTAGGGTAACTTCAGGGCTCCTTTACTTCCTACTTCTTCGCCCTTTGCCCTACCGTAACTTCGCTACTACGGTCACCAAAAGGGTGTTATAGTCAAAAGTTTGAGAACCACTGGAATCTATTCCTTAGTTGCTAACTCGACTCTGTCCGTGTGGAATTAAAAAAAACACGATTAGTAGTCTATGTATTCTTCCAGACTATGTTCTATATGTATGTCAAATCTCATCAAAATCTTCTCTGGACCTTCTTACATCCATCCATACAAACATATTAGTAAGATTATAATTTCCAGGAAATATCTGACAAATTGTCATATTTGATTACAATCAGTTGGTACATAATACCTATGGGGGATGAGGTGGTGGGTGAGAGGGTGTGTGACGTCAGCCGGGGGGTGGTGCGGCTGCTGGGGGGTGCGGGGGGTGCGGGGCTGCGCGTTGCTAGGTTACTACTTAGATACGGAGCCGTGGATTTGTACTCAGAGATGGTGAAGGTAAGTTTTTTCTTGATCTTTTTTTTGTATATTATTTTAGATATTAATTAGAGTCATTTGGCGCGAAAGTGTTTTCGTTACAAAGTGAAGTGTCAGAATGATTAGTGAGGGGACACAAACGTCGATATTTTAGTATTGCGCCGATACACCGGCACTGTGTCGGATTTTCATCCTAACATTTATTAGGTGGTAAACTTGCAATTCGCTATATTTCGCCAAAATAGCGTGCATTTAAGAGATGTAAGTGTCCACTCCTTTATAAAATTGACTTTCCAAAGATGGAAAGGATGGGAAGGGAAGGGGATTTGACCGCATAGGAAGTATTTCCTATAATTTCTATGCGTTTGTGATTCAAAGAAGGCAATTGCAAAAAAGTTCATTTTTAAGGTTCCGTACCTCGAAAGAAAAAAAAACGGAACCCTTATAAGACTACTTTCTTGTCAGTGCGTGTGTCAAGACCCTTTTTCTTTTGTAAAAGATATAAAGTGAATTTAATCAACTCTGTCTACTCCATTTTATCAATTAGGTTTATTATTTCACAGGACATTTCTCTAGAGAATTGTACGGATGACTTAATGTTATACGAGACATGTTTAGCGTTGGTTTACACTGCGACAAGAGTTGATGATGTAAGAAGAGTTTTACACGCGTTACAGGTCTGTCTACCCTGTTTCATTATAACAAGGTTCATGACTAATTGTCACCTGTGACTCCGTCCGCGTGAATAATAAAAAATTTAATTAGTAGTCTATGTGTTCTTCCAGACTATGTTCTGCATCTATGACCAATTTCATCTAGATTTATGCAGATGTTCTGGAGATATCTTCAATCAAACATACATCTAAACATTCCTTCTTACTAAGATTTACTTGATCTGGAAGTTTGTAGAGAGAGATAATATTATAAATGTGAATGTTTAGATGTATGTTAAAAGATATCTTCAGAACAGCTGCATGGATTTTGCTGAAAGGCATAGATGTAGAACATAGTCTGGAAGAACACATAGACTACTAATTAAGTTATTTCATTCACGCAGACGGAGTCGCGGGTGACAGCTAGTTTGTCAATAAATAGTAATACATTTGAAATGTTTGTATGTAATTGCGTTGGTTATAAAGAAAACAGGATTTTTAAAATTTTACTTTTCGTCTTAAAGTCAATGTTTGTTTCTTCTAATCTCCGGAAGAACTGAACGGAATTTGATAAAAAACGGTGTCATTCGATTCGTATTCTTCTCCTAAGGCTGTCTTTCCCAAAGTGTACGATAACGTCCCCTTGTGGTCGCTGCAGGTGTCAAGTTGCGGGTTATAGTAAAAGTTTCCTTTACAATTCTCCGTTAATATACATATATAGGTCACAATAATTAATTAATTTAATTTAAAGTTATAGTGGTTTTTAAATATGTCAAAATATGGGGGCACTAAAAAAATTATTCTCAAAGTGGGCAGTAGACGAAATAAGTTTGGGAACCACTGTCCTAAGGGAACATACCCATACTACGTGACATATTTTTTTAAGGTTTTTCTAAGTTTTTTTAAGACTGCATGCATACTTAAATTACTAGTGAATTATATAGTATGAAAGAAAACAAGTAACGAGTACGTGACTAAAACCTGAACCCCCCCCGCTCCTGTGACTGACCGTAGTACTTTAAGGACTCCGCTCCCTCCCTAGACGGGTCACGTAGTATGGGTACGTTCCCTAAGTGTCATAGTTATATTCAATTGGATTTTTTCTATTTTTTTGTCTAATTAGTAGTGTTTTTTTTAGATTATATTGTCTAGATCAGACGTCGAAGCTTCTATTTTGTCTCGTTGCATAATTACTTTAGATAATATTATGTCTACAAGAAAAGATTTCAATGGAAACGTATTAAATCAAGTAAGTATAGATTAATTGTCATCAGCTCACTAAGTCTCCACTGAGGGTCTCGTTACCCTAAGTGATGTAACTATGTCATAGTGAATGCTGGTCCAGTGCGTTTCGCACATATCTTTGACATTCACAGATATGTGCAGCATCACGATGTTTTCCTTCACACTAACAACATAGGATAAATGTACATATGTAACACATTGGATTAGTCGGGATTCGAACCTTCCCAGGTTCGAATCCCGACTACAGATTGCAAATCAATTGCTTAATCTTAAGTTAAATATTGTTAATATTAAAAGGCCTTTTTTTATCTTATATATAAAATTCTCGTGTCACGATTTTCGTTCCCATACTCCTCCGAAACGGCTTGACCGATTCTTATGACATTTTGTGAGCATATTGAGTAGGTCTGGCAATCGGCTACTATTTTATAATCCCTCGCGGACGGAGTCGCGGGCGACAGCTAGTCTATATGTAGAGATGAAAATTAATTACAGTATTTCTGATAACGATTATATTTGTTCTTACGATGTCACTAAAACCGATTCTTATGACGAAATTTTTCATTCGATGTGATAGATTAACTAAAATGGTATGTTTTTAATAGATAATACATAGATTGGAGAAAATACAATATATTGAACACAAAGGAAAAGACGGCAGATGTTTGAGAAGGGATTTGTTTATGTTTTTAGGTAAATATTAATCATAGTCAGCTTGTAAACTAACTACAATTTTTACAATGGAAATATATTACTTAATATTGAAGAATCTTAAAGTAATTATTTGTCTATGATACGATAAGATACAAAAAAAAAAGATTTTTGTACTTTTTATAGACGAATATTCTTATACAATATGATATTTGCTTGATTAACAAATTTGCAATTTTTAAATTGAAAAAGGGCGCAAAACCATAAAGTAAGTAACCGACTGAATTCGCAAAAATAGCGAAGTGACAGGGGAGGGGATATTTCCCCTTCCCTTGCCTGCTCTTCTGTCAAAATTTTCAATAATTCCTTTTCGATCGTAATTTCACGAAATTAATTAGTCTGAAATAATTAAAAATCTTGATTTATTTTCTAATATATATAAAAAAAACCTTTTCCAGGTAAATATAGTAAAAATACATATAAAGATGAATATTTAGTGGAAAGTATGCATTTGGAGAAATATATGAATTTAGCAGTTCCTATCATCAACGAGGGAATTATTATAAAGGTAAATAAGTAGTTATATAAAACTGATTATATATATATACATAGAAACGTCAAATTTTAAACATGGCGGCCATTATGTACGTTTATTCAGTATTTTTGTTAAAAATTTCTTAAATATATAATTAAAAACATGATTTACTAAGTCAATGCCTATTTTAAGCGAATTTTATAATGTTCTACTTGTCCTGTCTTTCCCAAAGTGTCCGATAGCCCCCTTGTGTGCGCTGCAGGTCTCAAGTTGCCGGTTATAGTAAAAGTTACGTTTACAATTCTCCGTTAATATACATATATAGGTCATAATAATTAATTGAATTTGAAGTTATAGTGGTTTTTAAATATATGAAAATATGGGGGGCGCTAAAAAATATTTATTCTCAAAGTGGGCAGTAGACAAAATAACTTTGGGAACCACTGGTTTAGTCAAATCTTTTGTTACCCATGTGACGGTGGTCATCTTGTATTTACTATACCATTGAATATAATGTCAGTAATTATGAAGAATAAGTTTCAGCTTTCGTTTGAATCTTAGTACAATATTTATAATTGTTCTAATATTAAATAACATAACAGTGGTAGAGCGAGCTTTAACATCGTAGGAATTGTCCCTGCTCGCCCGGTGAAATACCACGAGCACACAGTAGACAGGCGTCCAGTGGAAGCTATTCCAACTGCAGTCTGATGAGTGTGCGTCCCGGAGACCTAATTTAGTCCTCTTTACCTTCCCACCCTTTTTCTTATAAGGAAACGATGGGAAGTGGAAGTGGACTTTCCGAATGAGATGCATGGGAAGGGAAAATATTTTCTTTCTGTGCATCCTCTCCTCCGTGGATTAAAGGTAGGCAACGCATATGCAATTGCGTATGTCTATGGGCAACGGACACTTCGATATTTCAGCGATTTCAGGTGACCGCTCGCTCGTTTGCCTATTATTTTGCTACTAATTATATATATTTTTTAAAATTTCCAGTTAAATTTACAACAAATGCATAGTTTGGCGTTAAAATATGAAGATACGAAGATGTTGCAAATTTTACACGAATTACTTTACGCTAATTGTAAGTGTTCAAAAATGTTTTTAAAATTTTTATTTTCATATACAACACCTCTAGTATGTAAAAATCAGTTTAAACTTATAAATATTGAAAAAAATTGAGAGGTCCTACATTAAAGAAAACAGTCTTTATACTAATTTCAAATGAACCTAATTCAAAAACACCTAATTAGTAGTCTTATGTGTTCTTCCAGACTATGTTCTACATCTATGACAAATATCGCCATCTATTCAGCAGTTCTGAAGATACCTTCCTACATACATCTAAACATTCGCATTTATAATATTAGTAAGATTATTTACATGTACATTTTAGTATGGGAACGTGTACCTAACGAGAACGCACGCAGAGCACTATGTCGTAGTGCGTGCGCGTTGCTGCGTGCGCGACCACAACTGCGCACGCGCATCATCACCATGTGTGGTGACACTTCGCTTGATATACTTTTACAGGTTAGTAACACTATTAAACTGTATGAAAATCAAAGTAACTGGACTTATGACACTAAGGAGTACAGTACGAAACCAATGACACCTCACTGGATTAAATAATTTAGCCAACACATCATCGTCATCATCATTATCATCATAATTATCATAATTGTCATTATCATCATTATCGTCGTCATAATTATCATCATCGTCGTCATTATTATCATCCTCGTCGTCAACATTATCATTATCATCGTCATCATTATCATCATCATCATCATCATTATTATCAGCATCATCATCAACTGCCTTTCCCAATGCCTTCCAGATTCCTCGGTCCAACTTCTCGCTGTGCGAACTATGTCCTCAGCCCACCTGGTTGGATGACGTCCAACGCTCTTGATCCCCTTCCATGGCCATTCTAAGGCTTCCCTTCATGACAGATGTGATCATCCCATTACCATTTTATCCTATATAGATTCGATCTCGTTTACTACTAATTTAGTATTTCTTACATTCGAAGTATATATTTTGTGTCTATGACACTCAGAGGAAGAACACGAAACGAATGACACCTCACAAATCCGAATCTGTTCACTCCTTTAGCCTCAATGCCGTCATATACATACTCGTCAAAGTACTGCCCTGAGTCAGTCGGTTATAAATACTTAGTGAACTTTGTAATACAAATATTTGATATAAAAATATGTATTATAAATATTACAGTAGTGTAACTCTACTCTTATAACAGTTTGTGGACACGGAAAGCAGTGAAATCCGAACCGCAGCGTGCAATTTACTGAGGCAGATCTCCCAGCATGAGAAGTTGACACATACTATGTTATACGACTCTACGTTGTGCTGTAAGTATACATACATCACCATAAAATCATCATCACACCCATAACTGTAAGCTATGATCATCACATCCAACATATTGAGTTATCATCATCGTACAATCATTATAAGCTATCATTATCATCATACACCCATCATCATAAGTTAACGTCACCATACAGTCATCATCATACTGTATCACCACCATATAGCCATCAGCACAAGCTATCATCATCATACAACCATCATCAGACAATCATACTTTTTTTTTATATCATAAGGTGGCAAACGAGCGAGCGGTCAACTGAAGACGCTGAAATAGCGAAGTGACTGTTGCCCATAGACATACACAATTGCATATGCGTTGCCTACCTTTAATCGACGGAGGAGAGGATGCACAGAAAGAAAACATTTCCATGCATCCTCTCATCCGGAAAGTTCACTTCCACTTCCCATCCTTTCCTTATAAGAAAAAGGGTGGGAAATGAAAGAGGACTAAATTAGGCCTCCGGGACGCACACTCATCAGACTGTACTTGGAATAGCTTCCACTTGACGCCTGTCTTCTGTGTGGTCGTCTGTCCACACCGCCTGGCTTCTGTTCCCTAAATATGTGTATAAAATCATATATGTATATAAACTTAAATTTATTTTTACAGCTGTAAATAAGCCGGCATTTTTGGATGTATCAGAAATGATAGTAGATATAATGAAAGACGATAATATATTGGCGAAAAAATATCTTCCAACGATAATATTAGAAATATTTAAAATTAATATAAATAAAGCTAATAAAATCTATAAAATAGCAACCGATTTGTTTATAGACAAAATAGAATTGTTTAGAAATGTCTTAAATAATATTGAATCGGAACTTCTTAACGGTATTCTAGTAAAACAAGATGGCCGCCACGTAAACAAAATGGCGGATGTACACGTGATAAAGGATAAAATTAAACTGACATTAGATTTTATAAAACAGATATGCGGAATGGAGAAAGATTGGTTTAAAGTGATTCAAAATTTTATAATTGTGAAACAAAATGGCGATAATTCCCGTCTTTTTCTAATTCTATCAATTGCTAAAGAAATGTTTGATTTTGATGAGAATACGTGCCATAGATTATTGGAAGGTAATTTTGTTTGTGAACAATTGTTTATGGTTGAAGATGATTTGGATTTATTATATTTGGAGGGTATTTTGAATTTTTTCACTCAATATGCTGAAATTCTAGTGAAATTACATCTCGAGGTATGTTTGTTTATTTACTTATGGTTATTATGAGATTTTTCTTATAAAAACTACGTTCTCTTCAAGTTTCTCGCTTATAGAGTTTTCTCTTTAATCCGAGTTTCTCGCTTTTAGAGTTTTCTCTTTACCCCGAGTTTCTCGCTTATAGAGTTTTCTCTCTAACCCGTGTTTCTCGCTTTTAGTGTTTACTCTCTAACCCGAGTTTCTCGCTTATAGATGTTTATCTCTAACCCGAGTTTCTCGCTTATAGAATTTTCTCTCTAAACCGAGTTTCTCGCTTATAGAGTTTTCTCTTTAACCAGAGTTTCTCGCTTTTAGAGTCTACTCTCTAACCAGAGTTTCTCGCTTATAGAGTTTTCTCTCTAAACCGAGTTTCTCGCTTATATAGGTTTATCTCTAACCCGAGTTTCTCGCTTTTAGAGTCTACTCTTTAACCAGAGTTTCTCGCTTATAGAGTTTTCTCTCTAAACCGAGTTTCTCGCTTATATAGGTTTATCTCTAACCCGAGTTTCTCGCTTTTAGAGTCTACTCTCTAACCAGAGTTTCTCGCTTATAGAGTTTTCTCTCTAAACCGAGTTTCTCGCTTATATAGGTTTATCTCTAACCCGAGTTTCTCGTTTTTAGAGTCTACTCTCTAACCAGAGTTTCTCGCTTACAGAGTTTTCTCTATAACCCGAGTTTCTCGCTTTTCCAAGTTGATGTTTATCATTTTCTTGTTTTTCAGAACACAGTGAAAGTAATTTCAAATATTATATTAAAATTAAAACCCGAAGAAATAATTGAACAATCACAGAATTTGTTCCCATGTTTGAAAATATATGAAAAACTATTGGCATGTTATCCAGAAGATTTTCTTATAAGTTTTGAATTGCGGTGTAATGAATGGAAGATAGAAAAAATTGGATTTAATCTAGAAAATGATATATACGAAAATGATGTCATAAATATGGTTAAATCTATAAAAACATTTATAGATATTTTCGATGAAAATATTAAAAATGAAGATATAATTAAAGAAATAAAAAAATGGTTGCCCTTTGTAATAGAAAATTATAAAAATGGTATAAAAAAGCGATATATTCCATATTTCTCGGATTTACTTCATGTGATGTTAAGGTTTCTGTCTACCACTGAAGTTGAAAGTGTCGTGATGATGGAAGGTTTTTGTGAAGACTTTATGCCGGTGGTATTTGATCATCTGGTGATGAAACCTTATTGTTTGATGAAGGAAATACTTCACCAGAAAGATGTGATTAAGGTTTTTGTAAAGTATTCAAAGTTAAAAGATTATGATGTATTGGATTTAGTTAATCAGGTAAGAGAGTTGAAATCTTACTAATATTGTAAATACGAATGTATGGATGGATGTATGTTAGAAGGCATCTTCAGAACGGTTGTATAGAACTCGCTGTAATTTTTTTTTACGTTTTATAAGCTAGCGCTTGACCACGATCCCACCTGGTGAAGTGGAGATTTGGTCGAAAGATGGTACGCGCTAGCTTAGTAAGTGCCTATTCACTCTTTAATTTCTCATAGATGTAGAACATAGTGTGGAAGAACACATAGACAACTATTTTTTTTTATTTGCTCGGACGGAGTCGCGGACGACAACTAGTATGTCCTATTTTTACAAAGTTTTTATTTTGCACCTTTTTAGGGTTCCGTTCGTCGAAAGGAAAAAAAATGGAACCCTTATAGGATCACTTTGTTGTCCGTCTGTCTGTCTGTCAAGACACTTTTTTATAAATAAATTTATTATTTTTTAACAGTTATGGCCGGAATTTGAAAAAGTATCGACTTTCGAACAACAGCATTCTTTACTTCTAGAAGTTTCTTATTTACCAAACAAATTGCCACCGGAATCGAACCCAATGCAATGGCTTATTGACACAATAACATCTGATACATCCACTTGTGAAATGAAAGCGAAACTCATAGGATTATTGCCGCCTGGAGAATCATACAAGTATATACAATTTGTTAATTAACTTAAATCTATGACATCCTACGACACATTATGATACCTTATGACACTCAGGGGAAGAATACGAATCGAATGACACCTTACTCGTCAAAATCGGTTCAGTTATTAATGCTACAAGAAGTCACAAACGTGACCTTTACCGTGAGTTTCTGAGACCAAAATCCTCGTTTAGAACATATTGTTATCTCTGTTTAGTTAAATATAAAGACATGTTTTTAGACATTGGTTGAAAATCTGCTATTTAGTCATTTTTTTGTAACTTAATTCTAGGCTTGTGATATTTAGGCTATTGTTTTTAGGTCTACTTGGAGCTGGTATGCCGGACTACTGCCCGCTCGTCTTTCTGAAGCTGAAGGTGAGAATGGTCTACTGCTGGGAGCTTTATTGGAAGCGCTGATCGCAGCTGACTGCAGTCTACTTAAGACTATTAGCCATTTGATAGCAGGTAAGTCCATAAAAGACCGGTCTTTTTGATAAAAGGGATACAAAGTTTTCACTAGTTCGTGGCTTTTAGTATTCGCTAGTGGAAATGTGTATTAATTACATGTTTGTATGCAGGTGAAACAACTAAAGGTTGGTGGGATGATGCCATAGATGCGTGTGTGGTGTCATTATCTAAAAGTAATGACATCTCAATATATGACACGCTTTATACATGCTGCTGGGAGGGACTCAGTTTGGGAGTCTGTGTCAGACTTATGGTGCCATTGCTCAGGTATACTTCCATACATACAAACACACTCCATCATACATAATACATACATAAATACATGCTTATTCATATTACACACTGTTAAAGAGAGGGACGGAAAATTATGCTTCAGCTAGACGTCCTGAAATCTAGATATAGTTCTTAATATCTGTGCTTCTTATACAAATTCATTATATTACTAGACATTCGTATTGTCATACATGTTTAAACATTATGCATACAAGCTCATGCACTCCTTTACCAGCCATTCATAATACAAGTTCATACACACTCATTCATCATTTACTAGTTATTCGTATTGACTTATACATTGTATCATACAAAATACATACATGAATACACATATTACATCAAACACATACATTCACATTGTCATACATGTTCATACATAATACATACACATTTGTATGTAGCTTGTGCTAACACATTTTATACATACAACAATTCTTCCAGAAACTCAACAGCAGCAATTTGCGAAGAATTCTTCTCTTTAAAGCTAAAAGATCTTCTTTCAATATTAAAGAAGAAACCATCTGTATGTAATCGTTCTTTTACATATCAAATGGCGATAGTCGATTATATTAGAGCTCTTATATTACTAAGAGTATGCATTGAAATGGTAAGTTACACACATAAAAAAAATATATGTTTGTATGTACGTTAATTAAGTAACTACAGAATGACTGAAGGGATCCTAATTTAATTGAACAAAGTACTGGCTCTTATTATTCTTTGAAAATGTAGATGGCAACAGGTTATTAAAAAATATTTCAGTCGAACCTGGATAAGATAGAAAATTATAAGCGAGAAACTCGAGTTAAAGAGAAACCTCTATAAGCGAGAAATTCGAGTTAAAGAGAAAACTCTATAAGCGAGAAACTCGGGTTAATGAGATAACTCTATAAGCGAGAAACTCGTGTTAAAGAGAAAACTCTATAAGCGAGAAACTCGTGTTAAAGAGAAACCTCTATAAGCGAGAAACTCGACTTAAAGAGAAAACTCTATAAATGAGAAAACATCGCTTATACTTTGGCTTAACCGGGTTTGAATATACTGTTTCTTTCGTTCTTTTAACCGGTTTTGGCTTTCAGATTCGATCTCTTCGTCGTTATATCCGGTTTTATTAATTTTCAGGTACCTCGTTCACGTATTGAATCACCTAACTCATTATTATACAGTCAGATGTTAAATGAAGTTGGTACAAATGTCTTCTATTTGACGAAAACTCTGTCAATGTTGTGCGTAGACCTTGTCAAGAATAGACCCGTCTCGTGTCCGAATGACGCTGATGACAGCTTCAAGAAGATATGCTTGTGAGTTGATTGAACATTACAGTTGGAACTGGATAAGCGAGAAACCTCTAAATGCGAGAGTTATTAACTCATTTCCGATGGACAACCTTTATGAGCGAGAAACCCGTGTTGCCGAGAAACCTCTATAAGCGAGAAACTCGGGTTAAAGAGAAACTCTTAAAGCGAGAGTAATTGTCCGGTCTCGACGATCTCCATAAGCGAGAAACTTCTGTTAGAAAGAAACCACTATAAGCGAAAAATAAATCACAGTCCCTTGGACTCTCGCTTATCTAGGGTCAATTGCATTTAAGAAAAAAAACAATAAGTAATTAATGTTTATGCAATTTTGAACCCTATTCTCTTAATTTTAGGTTGTTTTATTGCGAGAACTACAATAGCTTGGCATCAGCGGTGTGGTGTCGTCAACCTTCCGACCCGAAGTTCTATTCCCTGGTCTTCGATAAAGAGACCTGATGCAGGATTGTAGACCCGGACATGGAGTATGAACTGCCTTTAGTCGAGTCCTGGGTAAGATACGATGAAAACAGTTACATCTCAAGATAGAAATTTTTTCGTTAGACGACACAAGTCTTCTAAATGCATTCTTAAACAAATAGCGTATTGATATTTAACTTTGATTCTTTCGTTTTGTTTAGAAAATTTTGACATTTTACTAATATTATAAATGCGAATGTTTGGATGGATGTTTGTTAGAAGATATCTCCAGAAGAGCTGCATGGATCTTGATGAAATTTGTCATAGATATAGAACATAATCTGGAAGAACACATAGACTACTAATTAAGTTTTAATAAAATCAGTCAGTTTGTAATCTAACTGCGATAATATTGATGTTTATTTCCCAGCAAAAATATTCGATGTATCAATTCGCAAGCGTTGAATTGGAAGATAGCAGTTGTCTTTTAAGTTCTAGTTCAAAAACTAGAACTAGGACATATCTCCGCACACTGTCTGAGAACCCTGAGGAGTTCGATGTGGGTGTGCCACAGGATGACCAGGTATGACATACGTCATCATCCGATGAAAAGAGTTACATGAAATGATGTAACTCTTTTCCTTGGATGTTTTCTATTTTAACTAAAATAGTTATGTTAAACCATTGATACTGTTCTTTAATTTTTTCCTTTTCAACGCAACTATGTAAAATGTTAGCAGATTTTTTTGTAAATTTGCTAATATTTCTTTTAACCATTTCAACTAAGCTGTATACTTGTGCTAGGATATGGTTTACAATAATCGAATGGCGGGATTCGAACCTCCGACCTCGTGATCGGAAATCCGTACACTTAACCATTAGGCTATTGACGCATTAAGAAGTACCTAAGTACATTAAGTTACATAAGAAGATACGACCATCTTCGTCAAATGTCTTTTATTGAAGAAAAGAGTAACATCCGGATATGCCCTTTTCGTAAAATATCTTTATCGTATTGATTAAGTTACATAAGGAGATATAGTCCTTTTCCTTGAATGTCATTCACCAGACGAAAAGAGTTACATTAAGAGATGTAACCATTTTCGTTGTACATTTTTTGATGCAGTTACATTAACTATTGGTTTCTGAGATTAAATCTTTATATACGAGTATATAAAAGAAAGTTGTGTTAGTTACACTATTTATAACTCAAGAACGGCTTTACCGATATGCCTGAAAATTGTTGAGGAGGTAGCTAAGAGCAAGGAGACGGACATAGGATACTATTCATTTTACATTTAGATGGATGTGATGTGGATGGATGTTTGTTTCAAGATATCTCTAGATCAGCTGAACGGATCTCGATTAAATTTGGCATACGTATAGAACGTAGTCAGAAAGAACACATTACACTAAATAAGTTTTTTTTTATGTACAGGGTGTCCCAAAAGGTTACGTACATAGGAAGGGGGATGATAAGGGTGGTCACAAGGGTCACCAGAAAAATAAAATAAAAATTCCCCTCTGCGTATAAAAAAAAATAAATGGCATTTTTTAAAAACTTAAAAATTTTACACCTTCTGGGTCCTTTTTTGGGACACCCTGTATACGCGGACGGAGTTGTGGGCGACAGCTAGTTTATAAAAAAACAGATTTTAGTCTCAGAAAGCCGCAGTAAGTAATTATTTCAGGAATGTCATCAAGAGTTATGTATATCAGAGAATGTAATCAATCTGCATCCTTGTGCTGGGATACTGACGATGTGTGTCAGTCGCGCGACATCTTTGTCACACCCGACATGGCTCCATACAATACTTAACACGTTGACTGCCGACATACATACGAATACAAAATGCTTGTTGGCGCAGGTAATATAAATGCGAATGTTTTGATGTTTGTTAGAATGTATCTCCAAAATAGTACAACGGATCTCGATGATATTTGTCATACATGTAAATTAAGTTATCTTTTATTAATTCCTTGTGGACGGAGTCGCAGGCAACAGCTAGTTTCATATTTTTTCCGCTCTTGAGACAAAAATCTTACTATTATAAATGCGATCTCGTTGAAACATGTCATAGATGTAGAACATAATCTAAAAGAACACACAGACTACTAATTAAGTTTTTTTTTTTAATTCCGCGCAGACGGAGTCGCGTGCGACTACTAGTTATATATAAATGAACTCACTCTAAGTTGGAGTAGTATAAAGTTGTCTTCTTTCTGCTCGCCTCCTTTAAGTTATAGCGTGATGTTAAATATCTTTGAATATTCCTTAATAATTATACTTTTAAATGCAAATAGAATTTTTATTATCTGTAGTAAACATATTTGTAGGCAATATGTAACTGCAAGGAGGATTTGAGAGTACACGCTAGTGTTTTACACCCAGCTCTGCTTACTATGGTTGTACAAACTTCTGATCAAGAACTAAACAGTTTACATATAGATATTGTAAGTATTATGTACATTTATATATGTTTTCATCATCAGCTCACTATACGTCCCCACTGGGCTTTGAGTCTACCCTAAGTTATGTGACTAGGTCATAGTCAATGCTGGCCAAGTGCGTCACTTCACACATATCTTTGACATTCTCAGATATGTGCAGCATCACGATGTTTTCCTTCACACTAACAACATAAGATAAATGTACATATGTAACTCATTGGTTTAGTCAGGATTCGAACCTAGGAGCTACAGATTGCAAGTCAAGTGCTTGACCAGCGAACCACCGACGCTCTTTTTAATAGTTTTTTATCTTACTAATATTATAAATGCGAATGTTTGGATGGATGTATGTTTGCTTGAAGGTAAATCAAGGACTGTTAAGCGGATTTTAATGATATTTGACATTAATGTAGAATATTATTTGAAAGTATACATAGGCTAATTTTTTTTTAATTCCGCGAGAACGGAGTTGCGGGCGATAGCTAGTTAATAATAAAATATTGTAACTTTTTAAATATTTTTATTATGAAATATAAAAGTTAGTTAAATTGCTTATAGATTATTCATTTATCATGAGCGTCGGTATCTCAGTGGTCAAGCAATTGACTTGTCTGCAGGTCCTGGGTTCGAATCCCGCCATGTACCAATGTGTTACATATATACATTTATCGTATGTTGTTAGTGTGAAGGAAAACATCGTGATGCTGCACATATTTGAGAATGTCAAAGATATGTGTGAAGTGATGCACTGGACCAGCATTCACTATCACATAGTTACACTTAGGGTAGGCTTCGTGACCCTCAGTGGAGACCTATAGTGAGCTGATGATAGGTTAATGTTATTCTATATTTAGTGTTTTATGATGAGTTTTTTTTCAATATTAAGTAGTTTTTGAGTTTTTTCTAAAACTAACTATTAGTAGACGAGATTTTTTTTAACGTTTTATAAACTAGCGCTTGACCACGATCCCACCTGGTGTTAGTGGAGATTTAGTCGAAAGATGGTACGCGTTAGCTTAGTAAGTGACTATTCGAACTCACAACCGTAATACGAAGTCCTTCAACTATTGGGATATTTTCGTTTTTCAGATAGACACGATTATTTATTGGGGAAATCAAAATTTAATACCGGATATAAAAAATCTTAATGTAATTCTAGAGAAGTTAATCAGAACTATAATAAAGTATAGAAGAAGAAAGAAGATTGTATCCAGTTTGATACAGAAGATGCATCTTATATTGCATATGTTTGAACATATAGAAATGAAATGGACATGTCTGTCTGAATGTGTTCATGGTAAATAAAATCTTATTAATATAAATGTGAATGTTTGTCTGTATGTTTATTATCCATAGAACGACGCAACAGATCTTAATAAAAGTCATAGATTTAAAACATAGTCTGGAAGAACACATAGACTACTAATAAAGTTTATTACGCGCGGACAGTGTCGCGGGCGACAGCTAGTTATTTATCTATCAATAAAAAAAAACGTCTAGACTTTACATGAGCACTTATTTTGTGTCTATATTTCCTTAATACTCTTTTCTTATAAGAAAACAAAAGGGAAGTGGATTTGATAGAGGAGGGGACGTATAAGAAGGGGAGATATATCTATAGGTCCTTTCCCTCATCGATTAAAGGTAGTCAACGTAATATATAGTGTTAATTTACTTGTTATTAATTAAAAATTAAAAAATAAGCAAATTAATGTCGTAAAGGTAATTTATCTCAAAAACTTTTGTGCTATTATTATATACTAGCTGTCGCACGCGACTACGTCTGCGCGGAATTAAAAAAAATAGTCTATGTGTTCTTCCAGACAATGTTCTACATCTATAACTTTTATTAATATCTTTTGAGTCGTTATATAGACAACAAACAGACAAACATTCACATTTATAATATTAGTAAGATCTATCGATATTATTTTTCCAGTAAAAACTGATGATACAGCATTTATATATATAGAAATAATAAAAACTATAACCAAAAAGTTACATATACCCGAATTAATAATTGAATTGGTTAAAAAAATACAAACAAAAGACACGCAAACATTCAAACACAAAGATATAGCTTTTATATTCGCTAGATGTGTCAATGTTATGCCTATAGATGGAAGATATGAAATGTTAAAGATATTCAGAGATATAATACAAACATATAAGAATAATATTAAAGAATATATAGATATAATATTATATGCACAGAAAGAAAATACCGATATATGTAATATTGTATTATTCAGGTAAAAAAAAAAATTATGTAATATTATAAATGCGAATGTTTAGATGAATGTATGTTAAAATGTAACTACAGAACATAATCTGGAAGAACACATAGGATAATACTAGTCGCGGGCGACAGCTAGTGTTACTAATATAAATGCGAATGTTTAGATGTATGGATGTTAAATTTTTTTTTATATCATAAAATGGCAAACGAGCGAGCGGTCACCTGAAATCGCTGAAATAGCGAAGTGACCGTTGCTTATAGACATAAGCAATTACATATGCGTTGCTTACCTTTAATCGACGGAGGAGAGGATGCACAGAGAGAAAATATTTTCCCTTCCCATGCATCCTCTCATCCGGAAAGTCCACTTCCACTTGTCATCTTTTCCTTATGAGAAAAAGGGTGGGAAGGGAGAAAATGTATCTCCAGAACATAATCTGGAAGAACACATAGGATAATAAGTTTTTTTTATTCCCCTCAAACGGAATCACGGGCGACAGCTAGTCTTACTAATATTATGAATGCGAATATATGGATGGATGTTAGTTAAAAGATATCTTCAGAAAGGCTCAAATTTGTTGCATACATGTAGAACATAGTCAAGAAGAACACATAGACTACTAAGTTTGTTTTAATTCCGCGCAGACGGTGACGCGGGCGACGACTAGTGTTACTAATATTATAAATGCGAATGTATGGATGGATGTTTGTTAGGTATCTCCAGAACGAATCTAATTTGTCATACATATAGAACATAGTCTGGAAGAACATGTAGGCTAATAATTAAGTTTTTTTTTTAATCCGCGCGAAAAGTCGCGGAAAACAGCTAGTTACCATGCTATGAAAGTTGATAGATTTTTGTGAAATTTAATACGTAAATTTATTAGCTTTGAGAATAGGCTACTGTATATTTTATACCCCTAAGTGATAAGGGTTGTCTACCCCTAATATTTTAATGTTTCAGGAGGATCGCAGATCTTTTACCTAAAATGGTTGATAGAAATAGAACGAAATGTCTAGAAATACTATCTCTATGTCTAAATAATGTACCTTCCAATGAAGTTATATCGTTGTTTGAATCTAGAGAAGTGTCTAGATTAGTACAAGATGGAGATAGCACTGCGTTAGTACTATTGGGGCGTGGCTTATCGAGATTGGGGCGTGGCTTGACGGGTATAGGGCGGGGCTTAGTGTTGCAAACTGAGAAACATTGTCGTAGTGATGTTAAGAAAGTAAGGGAGGCTGCGTATGGTGTTCTCAGATCAGCTGTTGAATGTACGTATGATAAATAATACGAAAATAAATTTTAGCGTTTTTTTTTAAATTAAAAAATTGAGTTTTTTTTTTTAATATATTTTTTTTATAAAGGCTTGTCTATTTTTATTTGGTATACAAAAATGTTAATTTTTTTTAATATATTAGACAAAAAGTAGTTTGTGCTCCTTGATAGAATTGTTTTTAACTCCGAATAGTAGTTTTTGAGTTTATCCAATATTAACAAGACTTTTCTTCATATTACGTATATATTTGCGACTTATTTTAATTTTAAGGTCTCTTCACTGATTCCCTGGAATCGAACCCGAAACGATCAGCTCGGTTCAGCAGTCCACTGCTGCAGGACGAGGAGTTGAAGGTGGCTCTGGCTTCCCTGGGTATAGAGTTGATGTCTGATGATAAACTCAGAAACTCCGTGAGTTCGTGTCTACCTACTAGTATAGCAACAAGGTAGGTTTATCTTATTTTAACGTAATTATAGTATTCTTTTACTAGCTGTTGCCCGTGACTCCGTCCACGCGGTATTAAAAACAAACTTCATTAGTAGCCTATGTTTTCTATATCAAGTTTCAAGTTTCATCAAGATGGTAGTGATAGAGCCCGCTTTAACATCTTCACACGAATTGTCCCGGCTCAAGTGGAAGCAATTCCGCGTTTCGTCTGATGTGGTGTGTCCCGGAGACATAATTTACTCCTCTTTCCCTTCCCACCCTTTTATAAGGAATGGATGGGAAGTGGAAATGGACTTTCCGGATGAGAGGATGCATGGGAAGGGAAGATATTTTCTTTCTGTGCATCCTCTCCTCCGTCGATTAAAGGTAGGCAACGCATTCAATTACGTATGTCTATGGGCAAGTCACTTCGCTATATCAGCGATTTCAGGTGACCGCTCGCTCGTTTGTCATCTTATCATATATTTTTTAATATTTATCATCAGATTCTGTGAGAGTTTTATCATCAGCGTATACTTGCCTGTGGTGTATGGTAATAACAAATCTGTGAACTGCCTCACAACATTCCTGGATATATTCTTTAAGGATCTATCAGATAATGAAGCTTTTAAACGGAATCTAATCTCAGATACCATGAAGAAGTAAGCAATAAATATTGTATATTCATAGACATCATCATCAGCTCACTATACGTCACCACTGAGCTCGGAGTCTATCCTAAGTTAGGTGACTAGGTCATAGTCAACCACGCTGCGCCAAGTGCGGGTTGACTTCACACATATCTTTGACATTCTCAGATATGTGCAGCATCACGATGTTTTCCTTCACACTAACAACATAAGATAAATGTATATATGTAACACATTGGTACATGGCGGGATTCGAACCTAGGAGCTACAGATTGCAAGTCATGTGCTTGACCACTGAGCCACCGACGCTCTTTCCCATTCAACACAACTCAATCCTTACTTAGTGGGGAAGGCAGATATCACAACCTCCATTTGGTAAAGCCAACCGCGAACCCAGGACCTGTTGAATACATGTGTTTAACCCCTGAGCCACCGTTCATAATTATTACAAACTACCTGTTGCATGTGACTCTGTCCGCGCGGAATTAAAAAAAAACTTAGTTAGGATATGTGTTATTCTAGACTATGTTCTACATTTATGACAAATTTCAGTGAAATCTGTTCAGATGTTCTAGAGTTCTATCTTCTAACAAACATACATCTAAACATTCGCATTTATAATATTAGTAAGATAGCTTTATTGATTTTATTGCTAGAAAAAATTAACACATCGTATATTTAGAAGAAAAAAAAGGCAGACAGACGGACGGACAACAAAGTGTTCATATAAGGGTTCCGTTTTTTTCCTATGAGGCACGGAACCCTAAAAATCTTTACCATTTTGCATGTATATACACAATAAAAATGATTTTTTCTAAAGTAAATTTACTTAAAAAAAAATAGAAAAAAGTACGATTTTTGTAATCACTTAAATTAAAAATTTTGAAAAAAAATGCTGATTTTTTGCAGTCATATTACTTAAAAAAAAATTATGTATCTTCTCCTTTTCAGTAAACTTCCTACGACATCAAAAGATTCAAATCTTATAATTCATAGCAGTTATCAAAATGAAGGTAGGTTTTATTTTGTAGTATAATAGTATAAATTCGTAGATATATTTTAAACACGTATGTACACAAAAATTCATCATCAGCTCACTATACAACCCCACTGAGGGTCTCGGATACCCTAAGTGTAACTAGGTGATAGTGAATGCTGGTCCAGTGCATCACTTCACACATATCTTTGACATTCTCAGATATGTGCAGCATCACGATGTTTTCCTTCACACTAACAACATAAGATAAATGTACATATGTAACACATTGGTACATGACGGGATTCGAACCTAGGAGCTACAGATTACAAGTCAAGTGCTTGACCACTGAGCCACCGACGTTCCACACACCAAAATTATTATTTTTTTTTGTTCAGATTTGACTACTGAAGAAACAAAAACAATGGACGTACTAGAAACATTATTGCAGTTTTCTAAGGTAATACAGAATAAATTACAGCTTAATAACTTCACGCTTTCCTGAGAAAAAGGATCTTGACAGACAGACGGACAACAAAGTGATCCTATAAGGGTTCCGTTTTTTCCATTCGAAGTACGGAACCCTAGAAATATGTAAATGTAAAAAGTAAATGGCGCCAACATCGAAACAACTGTTCAGTTAAAGATTTTATAAGTCATTCTTACGATGTTTTCTAATTAAAATTAAAAAAAAAATGTGTTATTGACTTTGCCGAAATTAAAAAATAACTTCGAAGCCGGATTTCTTTCACAGCTGAAAAAAAGACAATTTTTTTTGTTGTAAATAATTTAAGATTTTTTTTTTTAAATTTTGTTTAATATTTTAATCTAGTCGTTGCTATAAATACAGTCCATAGATAGCTTTGTACATACAATGACTATTAGTCGTCCATGACTCCGTCCGCGTGGGAATAAAAAAAAACTTAATAAGTAGTCTATGTGTTCTTCCAGATTATGTTCTACATCTATGACAAATTTCATCTAGATCCATGCAGCTGTTCTGGAGATACCTTCTAACAAACATCCATTAAAACATTCGCATTTATAATATTAGTAGGTAATGTTTAGTGCTACCAAAACTCTTTATCATGCTAAAATGTATGACCAAAAGTCAAATTTCCTACATAAAATCAGATGTATTCAAACTACCCACCATTGCAGACAGGTGAAGCAGCATCTGCACTAACACTTACACTCCTGACATCATTGTCGGGAACAATCAGGGGTCTTGATTTTCCTGCCGCCATGACACAATTATTACTGCCTATGTTATCACAAGTTGGTGATATCACACCATTTGTGATAGAAGCTTGTAGATTGCTTGTTGATGAGTGTTCTTCTATACCACGGTAAGTTGATAATTAATCGTTAAATTGTCATTAGGAGATTTAGATTTTAACAGTGGTAGAGCGAGCTTTAACATGTTATCACTTGTCCCTGCTCGTCCGGTGAAATACCACGACCACACAGAAGACAGGCGTCAAGTGGAAGCTATTCCAACTACAGTCTGATGAGTCTGCGTCCCGGAGGTCTAATTTAGTCCACCACATCATCGTGATGCTGCACATATCTTTGATCTTCTCAGATATGTGCAGCATCACGATGTTTTCCTTCACCTTAAGAACATAGGATAAATATACATATGTAACACATTGGTACATGGCGGGATTCGAACCCAGGACCTACAGATTGCAAGTTAAGTTCTTTAACTCCTGAGTCACCGATGCTCAGTCTAAGTACGAACTTTTAATATTTTCTTAGTTAAATCTTTTTAATATATCTCAGATTTAAACCAGCAGTGGAAGAACTCTTGAAATCAGTCAAGGGTACTGAAGGTGAAATATTGCTTCAAGTTTTGTTAGAAGACGTTGATGTCAGATTATCTGGTATTGATTATTTTGTACTAGGGTAAGTTAAAACATTTTTTTACCTATAGGTATGCTTGTAATTGTGTGAAATGAATTTCATTTCGGTACATTTCATTTTAATTAAGTTTCATTTCAGCTTCATTTAATTTGATTACATTTATTTTTGTGTAATTAACATTTATTAGATAAGGTAATTTAACAAAGAACATGAATGTTTGAATATGGTTCTAAAATCATATTATTTTCAGCAGCGCAAATAAAATAGATGAAGACAGTGAAATGATGGATTTGTCAAAAGAATTTTCATTGGAAGGTAAAAAAATGAAACACTAAAAGAATTTTTTATAAAATATTAGCAGATTTTTTTGTAAATTTACTAATATTTCTTTAACCATTCCAACTAAGCTGTATGCTTGTGCTAGGATATGGTTTACGACAATAGTCGAATGTCGGGATTCGAACACCCGACCTCGTGTTCGGATATCCGTACCCTTAACCATAAGGCTATTGACGCTTTATTGGACTCCGTCCGCGCGAAAATAAAAAAAACATAATAAGTAGTCTATGTGTTCTTCCAGCATAGTCTGCTCTATATGTATGCCAAATGTCATTAAGATCCATTGAGGCAGCCTGGAGATACATTCTAACAAACATACATCTAAACATTTATAATATTAGTAAGAAGTAAGATGAGATGGCTTTGTTAATCTGTTCTTTTTTATATTTCCAGATGTAGTGACGGCATTTGACTCTCTCTCCAATTGGCAGCTGTTGACACTGCAGCAGCAGAAGTCCACATCTGACAGACTACCTCCACTCTGGACCTGTATGTCTGATTTCAGGAAACACTTAGATAGTTGGCAGGGTTAGTTAATTATTCTATAAATTAATTAATTATTTCATTATTTTAGTTACAATTAATTATTCTATAAATTATATCATTAATTATATGATTCATTAATTAATTAAATTAATCATTGGTTTGATTATTCAATTAATTATTATTTAAATAAGTAATAACAAATAACTATCGCTAATCTTTGTCGTTAATTAGCCTTTTTAGTATAGATTTAATATTACATATTAACTCTAAGGGATTGTCTTGGTGCAGATTTAACACCACTTTCGGTATATAAAAATTAAATCTAAATTTCTTATAACGATTCTTTTTAGCAAAAATCAATGTACGTTTAAAAACGAATTGCTTATTTTCATTTCAGTCACCACAACAAGTACATGGTTCGACAAAATGTTGTCAATTTATCAAGAATCCAAGAAGAGTTACAAATCTTTACAATGGTTTAACGAAATGTCACGTTGGCCTAAGAGACAGTTTACAATATCCGCTGTGAGTTATATCTTTACTGTTATATTCAAGCTTATATAGGGTAGGCAGAGGTCTCTTAACACTAAAAGTCCCACTGCATGTTTGTCCCTTGAGAAAAGAAAGTAAAAAAAAATCCTCCTTTTTGTCATTTAGACTTACTAATTACTAGATAAATAATGTAAACTATGTATCTTTCCATAGACAATAGACGCTTTAGAATTAAAGAGGATGCAAGATGAAGAGCATCCTCTGGATCTGAAGTGCCGCATCCAGCCCCAGGACTGTCTGGTTGAATGGGCCGCTAGGATAATGACCAGGTAAATAATATTTCAGAGATTAAGTATTACAGATATGATTAATTATTTAATTAATTAATCAATGAATTAATCATTAAATTAATTAAATGATTAACTGATTAATTACGACCACATGTAATATAGCGAGAAAATCCAAAGCTACTAGTTTGTTGCATTTCTTATAAATTAAAGATAAGAATAAAAGTTTTGATTATTTGCCCAAAAACATATTTATTTTTGTGAATGTTACAAAAGGCAGAAACGCTCATACATTATATGTATATTTTATTATGTGTTTATTATTTTAATATAGATATAAAGGTTGTTATGTATTATTTACAACAGATCTGCATGTATACAAAAGATGTCTGAAAATATGGAAAGTATGACGTCAATCAGTCCGTCTCACTCGCACGCGCTGCGCTGGTGTGCGCGCGCGAACGAGATGGCACTACCTTTACAAGTGTTACGTTGCATACAGACTATAGACAAGTAACTTTTACTTTATTTATTGTATATTTAGGTATATTTTATATCTCATTCCATTCTAGGTCCTGGTTTCTAGGCTACAAATCGAACATATATTCTGACATGCTGTTCGAAATGTTTTTTTCTTATATGTTTTAAATTTAATAAGTCAATGTAAAACTGATTCTTCAACCGTATTTTTTAATATCAGATTTTTGTTCATTAATTGACATTTTTACTAAAATAAATGACATCATCAGACAGGAGTTGGCAACCCTGGCATGGCAGCGTCAGGAACTCCTCGCCAGGAGACAGCTGGCGCTAAAGACTTCTGATATGGACATCCTCAGTCTACTCTTGGAGACGGCACATTCTTATGGTAACATTAAAGACTGCCTCAAACAAAGCTTACCTTAGTATTGATTTAGTACGAGAAATCTATACTAATCGAGATTTAAATGAAAATTTAACGACTATACAGCTGATAGAGATAGTTGTCTTTTTTGGGCTTTTTAGATTATTGTTACTTCGCTTCGCTTTTGTTTAGCTGATGATTAGTTAAGTCATAGACTAGTATAGCTTCATCATCATCATCACCTCACTATAGTTCCCCACTGAGGGGCTCGGAGCCTACTTTAAATTAGGGTTGACTAGGTAATAGTATACTTGTTTTTTTCTTTTCTTTTTTTTTTAAATTTGTTTAAAATTAACATTAAATCATCATCATCATCATCGTAATCACTCTCCCCCTCCTTTTGTAATGTTGACACAATATTTTTCCATATATCTCTATGAGCTGTCATATTTAAATTCACTGCCATTTAAAATTAATATTTCAGAATCTGAAAGTCGATTAATTGTAGATAATACTACAATAGAAGATATTATTGGTTTGAAGAATCTTATATTAATTCTGCGAAAAGATGTAGGAGGTAAGTTATTTTCATGTTATTACTTCAATGTTTAATTTATACGCAAAATTTCATTGTATAAGATGTACAATATAAATATATACACTCGATTAATTATGTTATTGATTAATTAATTAATTGTAACTTCAATAATTCAATTAATTAAAATTAATTAATTAATATTTCAGCGCTCTCTAACGAGCAATTAAGGTGTATATTATATGACACAAAAGATAAAATAAAAACATCAGAGAGTAGGGTAGTGGGTGAAAATAAGCAAATGCTTAAAAATATGGTGCAGATAGCTATTACGCACTATGACGAAAACTGGCCACTAACTGGTGGTAAGTTTTGTTTTAATTAAACTAAGCAATTGATGGTACATTACTTAGGAATGATCTTTAACATTACAAAATAAGTCATTTTAAGAACAAGTCCCAAATAAAAAGGATATACATATAGCCGGGATAAAAATTACCTTTCTCAGTCGGGATATAAGCTTTTATGTCATTCCTAATACAGCGAGTAACACCGTACATTCCATTTTATAGACTTCCTATGTTACTTGTAAGGCATCCAGTTTAATCTGGATAACTCAGGTTCCATCCACACTACATGGGTGGCTGGCACACCGGTGCGATTGTTTGTTGAGTACGAGCATACCATTTCCTTAAATGCATCGAATCTGCAGTTCCTCTGGTGTTGCAGATATCCATGGGTGTCGTTGATCATCTCGGTGATCCCGCCGCTCGTTTTCCCCCTTCTTTTATAAAAAAAATCTAGAATCCAAGGAACCGCAATATTTTTCTCCGTTATGAGGGGTTCTCTTTTATTCAAGTTCGATTTTAAATCTGTTCCTACTTTAGAATATTGCTAGTTCCTTAACATCGTTATATCCGATTTTCTTACTTTAATCCACTTTAAAACTTGTATTTACACTTACATTAGATCATTTTATTCCAGCTAAAGAACAAAACATTCAATTAAAAGAGATCACAAACGCCTTAGGTGTAGGTATAGACTTGAATTTAGATCTAGACTACAGCGTGTTAGTTGACGTGCTGCTGTACCGACTGAGCTGCGCTGATCAGCTCGATAATAATGCCACCGACGCTGTCCTTGGCAAGGTGAGTATCATCATCATCAGTATCATTAACATAATTATCATCATCATCATCACAAACATCCCATGAACCATACAGAAGACAGGCGTCAAGTGGAAACATTTCCGCGTACATTCTGATGAGTGTGGGCCTTTTTTTATACGAAAATGATGTGAAGCTTTAGGTGGAGGAAAAGACACAAAGGAAGGGGAAATATTCTTATTCTATACGTCCACCATTGATTAAAAAACGAATATGCAATTGCGGATGTCTATGGGCAGCAGCCAGTTTACTTCTTTGCCACCTTATAAGAAAATTTACATATTACCGATTTCATGTATTCCTTTATCCATAACCAGATGGATACTCTCATCCATGTCCTGGATGACTTCGCGATAGAGGAGCTGAAGAGGAACCAATTCAAATTGACCTCTCCATGTGAGCTGGTCACCAAGTTATCAAGGGATACTAGCAAACTGAAACAGTGTCTGCAGCTAGTGGCCGACCCTAGACATATGTTGCGTCATTACGTAAGAGAGTTGCTGAAAGCGCTTGAAAATCTAGGTATGAATAATCAGTCTTAAATCAAAAACATTAGCTACATTAACCGCTTATAGCTCAATGGTTAAGGAAGATTAATGGAATTCCCACTTGGTCGTGTATTCGAATCTATTCGACTTTGGTGAACCATATCCTAACACAAACTTAAAGCTGAAATGATACAAGAAACTACTTCCATAATATAATATTAAACTAAGTACCTGTTTAAGTAATCATTAAACTCTGAGTATGTCGTTTAAATTTGATATTTTCGATTAAAAAAGAGTGTTTGTCCCCTATGCGTTCTTGAACTGCAGTGAATCTTTGTTAAATAATTAAAATAGAAAAAAAAATTGTGTTTGATAACAGATGACGCTGCGTGGACCAAATCATTTCGTAGAATGAAAGAGAAGATATTTGAGAATCCTTACGCCGGAGTTGACTATCAAGTACTTATTAAATATAAAGAAATATTATACAAAATATCTGAATTTGGTAAGTAAATCCGTAAAATAAGTATATTATGAATTTATAATCAAAACTTAATACTAATTTCTAACTAAAAACATCAATCTTCCCATTACATTACATTACCCCTTCCTATTCATCTTCTATCTGTAATACATCATCAGCTCTCTAAGTCTCCACTGAGGGTCCCGTTACTCTAAGTTAACTATGTGATAGTGAATGCAGGTCCAGTGCATCACTTCACACATATCTTTGACATTCACAGATATGTGCAGCATCACGATGTTTTCCTTCACACTAACATAAGATAAATGTACATATGTAACACATTGTTTTAGTCGGGATTCGAACCTAGGACCTGGTGACAATGCAAATGCATAATACCTAAGCCACCGATGCTCTTATCTTTTTTACTTTTCTTAATAGTTGTACTTAGATTTGCGAAAAGATTTTTTTTAAATAATTTACTTACAAAGATACATACATACAAAAAGAATCATAAAAAAAGTTTTTATGATTATCGACATCACAGTTGACCGAAGAGCTGGCAGCTACCTCGGTCAAAGAATTAGTTTAGCTATCCAAAGAGGGAACGCTGTCAGTATCTTCGTAACCTTGCCTAAAGGGACTCCTTTTAATAATATATTTTAGTTAATTATTCGTTTTTTTTATATTATATTTCTATCTTATATCATTTAAGATTGAGGATGGAGGAAATGAGGATGTATAATAAACTTAATTACATTTATAAATTATTTTATTTACAGATTTAAATAATAAAGATTCAATAAAAGAATCTCTTTTGATTTTATTAAAAGAATTGAATTCGCAATCTGAAAGTTTCAAGTTATCGCAGCTCTGTCCCGCTCTAACACAAGCGGAATTCCTATGTGGGAGAAAGACGGAAGACTGTCTCTCTCGGTTGTTAATGCTACCCCGTGGAGTACATGTACACAGATTTGATGAACAGGTTCATTTTTTTATCTTATTAAAATATTATTTATTGTTAGATAAAATTAAAATGTATTCAACCGTAATTTAAAAGGTGTATTTGTTAAAAAATATTTATATAATTAACTATGTTATTATGTCTTTAATTAATTAATCAATTAATTAAAAAAAAAATAATCAGAAAAATGATAAATTAATGGATTAATTAATGTAATGATAATGGATTGATTAATTTATTTATTGATTAACTAGCTGTCGCCCGCGACTCCATCCGCGCGGGATTAAAAAAAACTTAATAAGTAGTGTGTATGTTCTACATCTAAGCCAAGTTTCAGCGAGATTCATGCAGCCGTTCTGGTGATAACTTCTAACAAACATCGAAACATTCGCATTTATAATATTAGAAGTATTATTAATTTTCATAATTAATTGATTAATGAACCGTAGGTATCAGTGTTTACGGATTCCAAACGTCGTCCTGTAGTGTTAAGTGTACGTCTATCAGACGGTAGTAGACGACGGCTGCTGGTGAAGACTGGCGAGGAGTTGGGGGTGGATGCAGCCACTCTCAGGGTCATCAGAGCTATGAGACTCACAACACAGGATTACCAGGTCAGGTGACAAACGAGCTAGCGTCCTGATTTCGCTAAAATAACGAATTCATCATGTTCAAAGTTTAATTGCAGGTGACAGTGGTATTTCCTATACCTTTTTTGTACATTCATTCTTCTAAACTGATATAAAAACGGCTAAACTCTGACGTATATTCGTCCGGTGACGGCACCGACTAGTTCCGAGCTGATCGGGGGCCCTTCATCAGGATGAGTGGTACTGATATTATTTCGCGGACAAGGCCCTCAGCTCCCATTCATTCTTCTGTCTAATAACAGTCAGCAATGATAACACTTTTTACTATTTTACATACAATTAATTTAACTAAAGTTTAATATTTTAGGTGACGTCATTAGGTGATGATAGTGGACTTATAGAGTATTTGGAGGATCACGAGAGGGTCCGGGAGATGATTTCTAAAAAATATGACGTAAAAGGTAAGCTTTCTATTCCTTGGTTTATAATAATCTTCACAATAGACATCATCATCATCATTATCATCATCATCGTGATTCTTCTTCTTCGACTCCTCGACTCCTCGACTCCTCGACTCCTCGACTCCTCGACTCCTCGACTCCTCGACTCCTCGACTCCTCGACTCCTCGACTCCTCGACTCCTCGACTCCTCGACTCCTCGACTCCTCGACTCTTCAACGATTGTGATGATGACGATTCAGATAATATAACTTAAAATCAAATATCGCAATGAGCGCCGTGTATGGAATTTGACTTAATGTAATTTCATCTTTAGTTAGGTTAATAAATATTAATTTCTAGGTATAGAATCATTGAGTACACTTGGTGAGAAATTAATTTATGATACGAGAGAGCACAGCATCAGTCAGTACCAGAAAATGTGCGCGAAGATACCAGCGCATGCTTTCAGGTATGTATCACAAGTTACTTAGTAACAAAAACAACATAATTACTAGTCTAAGTGTTCTTCCAGACTATGTTCTACATTTATGACAAATTACAGCAAGATCCATGCAACAGTTCCGGAGATATCTTCTAACAAACATACATCTAAACATTCGCATTTGTTAGTAAGTTATTTATTTTTTAAGTTATTGTCTGTTTGACTGTAAGTCTGTTTGTTTTTGGTTCTATCTGATGAGTATTTTACTGGAATGAAGCTAATGCTTACGAATAACTTAATAAAGCGTCAATAGTTTAGTTAAGGGTACGGATTTCCGATCACGAGGTCGGGGGTTCGAATCCAAACATTCGATTATTGTAAACCATATCCTAGCACAAGCATAGAGCTTAGTTGGAATGGTTAAAAGAAATATTAGTAAATTTACACAAAAAACTGCTGATATTTTTATTTAATTCTGTAGAATTTCCTGAAAACATCCAGAACAAAGTACCTATGTTAATTTCAGATCTGTTATGGAACTGAATAGTTCCAGTTTTCAAGATTTCATCTACAAGAAAAAGAATTACGAAGAAAGTCTCTCCGCTATGACATATGCCACCAGTTTGTTAGGTAATAACTATTGGTACTATGTATCGAATGTCATATCTTACAATTGTGATAACACATCACACATATCTTTGACATTCACAGATATGTGCAGCATCACGATGTTTTACTTCACACTAACAACATAAGATAAATGTATATATTTTTTTTTAATTTATTTAACAATACAATTTTGAATACAAATAAACATATGTTTAACGCTAAATAAACCTCATTGGTTTGGTATAAGCGTTAAGGTCTTCCGGACAAAAACATTTTGAGCTTGCACTTTATGTTTTTTCGTGAAATACATTTAATCAAATCTGAGGGTAGTTCGTTCACCAATCTAGGAACGATGTAACTTGCAGTGCGCTCACCGTATACATTTTTTGCGCCGACGGTACGAAACTGGTTTAGAGTTATCGCCCGCGTGCCTACAGGATGTTCAATTTTAGATAAAATACTTTCATTAAAAAATATTGTTTTAGCACAGATATATGTAACACATTGGTACATGGCGGGATTCGAACCTAGGAGTTGCAGGTTCCAAGTCAAATGCTTATCCTCTGAGCTACCGACGCTATTATTACGGAATTAAATAAAACCTTTTTCAGTTACTTACGTGTTCTTTCAGACTATGTTTTACATCTATGTCAAATTTCAGCCATATCTATTTATTTAGCCGTTCTGATACCTTCAAACATTCGCATTTATAATATTAGTGAGATTGAAATACATTTATCAGGCTTGAAGGACCGTCATTTGGAGAATATCCTATACGATGTAGTTAGGGGGTCAGTGCGTAGTGTAGACTGGAACAGTGCGCTCCAGCACGACCAGTGCGAGCCTCCTCCAGCCAGGCTCACGCGCTGTCTGCTCGCTCCGTGCAGGAAACAAGGTAACTTTCCACAGACACCACCAACACAAACCCTCACAATAAACCCCCAAGACAAACCCCCAAGACAAACCCCCAAGACAAACCCCCAAGACAAACCCCCAAGACAAACCCCCAAGACAAACCCCCAAGACAAACCCCCAACTTAAACCCCCAAGACAAACCCCCAAGACAAACCCCCAAGACAAATCCCCAAGTTAAACCCCCAACAACTTTGTTATAGGTATTTTTCAGTAAATGAAACACTGCGAAGTACCCTGACTGTACAATGATTCACTTTTCAGTTATATTGTGTCTATTTAAGATAAATTAGTTTGACTATTAACTAGATATGTGTTGAGTAAAATCTCTAATGAATCTTTTAGATTTTAGTTGAATAGAGTTGTTCTCATAGAACTTGCAATCGAAAATTTAGTTATTATTGACTTTTTTTTAGTTAAAATTTACTATCTATTTTATCCTTCATAGCTATCATCATCAGCTCACTATACGTCACCACTGAGCTCGGAGTCTACCCTAAGTTATGTGACTAGGTCATAGTCAACCACGCTGCGCCAAGTGCGGGTTGACTTCACACATATCTTTGACATTCACAGATATGTGCAGCATCACGATGTTTTCCTTTCCACTAACAACATAAGATAAATGTACATATGTAAATCAGAAATCAAAAAACACATTGGTATATAAAGAAATAAAATTTTAAACTAAAAATTCTATTATTAACAAACAAGAAAGAAATATTCGTAATTTTTTTTAAGTTAATTGTGTAAAATAAATTAAAAAAAGTAATAAAAACTTACGTAAACGTACTTAACGTACTTGTTTGTTCGATTAATATTAACATATTCCATAGTTTATAGTTGTTAGTTCTCGTACACCAACACTTTGACAACTGCACATTAAGTACAACATTAATCTTCATACATAATTAATTCTATACTTCATACACGTCAATATCAAACTAATCTATCTTAAATAGACGCACTACATGACATATTCGACTTAATTCCATTATTATAGTGTTAGAAAGTCGCCTGCAAACATTGACTTCGGAAACCAGGTTTTATCATCGATTCCTGCAAGCAACATTACAAATATCATTCAAATGGATGGAAAACAATATACAAGATAAGGTAGATATTTAAATTCATTTATTTATTTCACAAATGCCAAAAAAAAATCAAGTAATAATAAAAAAAAACAAGTATAGCTCTCGGGTTCAGTAGTTTTCGAGTTTAAACGTTAAATACAAAACATTTTTTTTATACCATAAGTTGGCAAACGAGCGAGCGGTCACCTGAAATCGCTGAAATAGCGAAGTGACTGCCCATAGACATACACAATTGCATATGCGTTGCCTACCTTTAATCCACGGAGGAGAGAATGCACAGAAAGAAAATATTTTCCCTTTCCATGCATCCTCTCATCCGGAAAGTCCATTTCCACTTCCCATCCTTTCCTTCTAAGAAAAAGGGTGGGAAGGGAAAGAGGATAAGGCCTCCGGGACGCATACGTTAGAGAGTAACCTCTATAAGCAAGAAAAAATACCTTTATGTACTTTTTATCCACATTTTCTTATTTAACATCAATAAGATCGTATTTCTAAAAAAGTTGTACTTCTCGGTTCATACATTTATATATATTTTCAATGTCTAGCTCCAAACTGTATACGATTTAATGCGCGGGACTAAATTATCTCATCAAGTGAGTCAGCGGAGCCCTGGAGACTTCGCCCTACTTATAGATAATATCTTCAAAGATTTTATATATAAGGATATTTATACTATTGAAGAACAGGTTCGTTATAAATTGTGTTATTATATTTCAGTTTCAATTCAAAGCAAAATAATATTTAAACTAGGAAACGTCAAATTTTAAACATGGCGGCCATTACGTATTATTTTTTTATTTATTTTGTTAATAAATGTAGCTAATATTATTAAAAAAAAACTTAATTATTAGTCTATGTGTTCTTCCAGACTATGTTCTATATGTATGGCAAATTTCATCAAGATCCATACAACAGTTCTGGAGATATCTTCAAACAAACATACATCTAAACATTCGCATTTATAATATTAGTAAGATTTAACATTATGTTTCTATGTTTATTTAATTGTAATTTTGGGTTGAAATCATTTAACTTTAAGATATTGTACAGGTAACGAATCTGTTGCGTCATTGCACAGACCCTCAAATCCTGGCCATCACCAGGTCAGCTTGGGAACCCTGGATATAGGTCATCAACTTAAACACATGGGGCTGGAGACTTTCCTAAGAGGCCTGATACATTCGTCACCCACTTACCTAAATATAAATACAGATATAATATAGTAAAAATAATTTGTTTTAAAGTGGGTTTCCGAGACCAAAATCTCTATTTAAAATATACTGTTCTTTGTTTTATCACAGAGTTTAATGACAGAGTTCGATATGTTTTATACAGAGTTTTTGGTCTCAGAAATCTACAGTAATATGAGTTATATATATATTAGTTTTTTTAAGAAATAATTTTTAATTTTTTTTTTCAAAATTAATTTCGTACTTTTACATATTACATTGTACTTTCTTATAATTAAATTAAAATGAATATTGTACTGTTAATAATCAGTTGAATAAAATCGTTTGAAATAAGTTTTTGTTTCTTATTTAAAGATATTTAATTAAAAAAAAAGGTTGTTTTATTTTTTGACCATTCCTTCAACACAAAGTATAAGAGAATGAGCGTTGGTGGCTCAGGAGTCAAGCATTTGACTTGTCTGCAGATCCTGGGTTCGAATCCCGTCATGTACCAATGTGTTACATATGTACATTTATCTTATGTTGTTAGTGTGAAGTAAAACATCGTGATGCTGCACATATCTGTGAATGTCAAAGATATGTGTGAAGTCACTGCACTTGACCAGCATTGACTATGACCTAGTCACATAACTTAGGGTAGACTCCGAGCCCCTCAGTGGGGACATATAGTGAGCTGATGATGAGTGTATCTCCAGTGAAAACCTATTCTAATTAGTTAATCTTTAGTTAGCAAATGTTAACGATTTGGTAAAACCCAATAACAGATGTCAAAGTTTATCTGTTTCCTGCGAAACCGACTATTTATAGTCTGATAAAGATATCAGGGCTGGTAAGAGACGCTACGTTCGAATATCGTTCTGTAAAGTTTCATTTACCATGGAATTCTAAGGCTAAAATCTCTGTATATAACAAATCGTTACCCCTGTCATTATTTTTGACAGAACAGATATGTTTTAAATGAGGATTTTGCTCTCGGAAACCCAAGGTTAGAATCTAACGAACGTTTGACAGTTGTGTTAGAGCGAGACAAACGTATGTGAATACAACATGTTTGTCTCGCTCTGAAGCAACTGGTGAGCGTTTTTCGTACGATTTCTGATTATACCAAAATAAATATTAAGACAATATGTGAATTTTTTCTGATGAAATAGTTTAAAAAAGACTAAATTGTCTCAAAAGTTGGTATTAAAAATTATTTTTAGCAGCGTAGATACGTAACCTGGAGTAGCGGGGAACAGCTGGTATTATTATAAAATACTAGATGTCGCATGCGAAACGTCCGCGCGGAATTAAACAAAACTTATTAAGTAGTCAATGTGTTCTTCCAGACTATGTTCTACATCTATGACAAATTTCATCAAGATACATGTAGCCGTTCTGGAGATACCTTCTAACTAACATCCATCTAAACATTCGCATTTATATATATAATATTAGTAAGATTTGGAACATAAACGGGCATCAAAAAGCTAGATTAGGATCGTTAGCAATTTATAAAATTTGACGTTTAATAAAAAGACGATGTTTCAAATGTCATAACACTGATTTGTCCCAACAAAAGCCGGAGGACCTTTTCGTCTCAACTTTGTGCTTCGGGTGAGGTATCTGTAGCTTTAATAGCTGTTATAAATACATATTGTTGTCTCTTTCTTATTTATAGGAAGAAAGGGACAACTATGTTTATGTGCTTTCGTGTAGGTTTTAACCAATGACACTATAAATGGAGAGGCTATTTCGTAATATTTTGTGCTAATATGATTTTCGCCATTTTGGCGCTGTTGGTTGCGATTTGTAGCGGTGGGGAAGATTCGAACTAATAATATATAGGATTGAATTCCCAAGAACAATAATTTGCGCATAACAGTCGGAACGAGATAAAATCTGTTTTTATCAAGTAATAACCTGTCCATTCAGATATCAGTGAATTTTACAGTCACTTATGTTTTTACTTTAGTAGTTTTATCGGATCGGTTACAATTATTTGTCTACATAGTTCATCGAATTAAAACGATTAAGATAAAATTATACGTATTTTAAACATTTTTATCTCGAAATGTGTTTGTTTTTAATTTTTATAACGCAGTAAATTAAAAAAAAGACTTCTTTGATATTTATTCTTAATAAAACTTCTAAAAAATCAATAAATAATCCGGTTCAATTAATTTTAAGGTTATATATTTTCCTGTTATTGTGGTCTTAATGATTAGTTAACATAATTTTGAATAACTTGGTATGAGAAGGAAAATTGTGTTAAAGAACTTTGTCTTCCCGCTTATTCTAAAAAAAAAAACAAAGAAATACGACAGTCGAAATTGAGGTTAGTTTTTAATTTAGTCTTTAAAATTAGAATAATTTTTAGAAATAACAGATTATATTAAAAAAATATGCAATAAATGTTAGTCTTTATTTTTAGTTGGCTTAAACAAGTGATATTAATTTTCAGTGAAGTTTTTATTATAAAAAGGCGATGACGTGGAAAAGTTTTTTAGTGATAAAAGTTTTGTTTATTGTTTTCTCAAATGCACAATATGAAGGTAAGTAATTTCATTAGTTACCGTAGGTTTCTAAGACTAAAATCTTTAATAAAATATCGTCATTCCTGTTATCTTTGACAAAACACGTATAACAACTTTTAAACGGGGATTTTGGCTTTAGAAACTCACGTTTAGTAATTTCATATTAAGAAAAAAACCCAACCGATTCATTTAAGTGACACATCCATTCATTAAATTCAACTAAAAAGATTACATGAGTCGGTAAACAGTTACTACATTTTTTTTACTTCTACTTGTCGTAATTAGTAGACAGGTTCCATATTGACATTTTAAACCTGGTTGTCTGCGCTCCGTGAGCTCGGAATAATAATGCTTATTGCGGTTGAAATCTGTTCCATCTTCCATCCAGAGTTGTATAGCCCTTTTGGAGATCCCTGCTAACAAATATCCATCCATACAAAATGTACTATAGCTATCTTGTCTTGTATATAATTTTATAGTTTTCTACATAGTATCTACATATTATGATAACCAGCTCACTATAGGTCCCCACTGAGGTATGTGACCAGGTCATAGTGAATGCTGGACCAGTGCGTCACTTCACAGATATCTTTGACATTCTCAGATATGTGCAGCATCACGATGTTTTCCTTCACACTAACAACATAAGATAAATGTACATATGTAACACATTGGTACATAGCGGGATTCGAAACCAGGACCTGCAGACAAGTCAAGTGCTTAACCCTTGAGCCGGTATCAGTATAAGTAGATTTCGTATATTTCCTGAGAGAACTAACTATGAGAAAGGTACCTCTAATCCGGTCAGATTATTCAATCGCACTATACTTATTAAACTTTGTTTCAACGTGTTTTTTCAGGTGACACATGCACAAATAATGGTGTTCAAGGTACATGTAAAATACTTCGCAACTGTCAATCTGCAGTAATTGATATGAGAAAGGGAATACCACCTCAGGTTGGTACACTGCGTATACGATTAGGGTTGCCAACTCGCCAAACCGGACAAACCAGCCAGTTTGACCGGACGCTCTACACGAAATGTAATAAATCTAACAAAAGCCGGACATCTACACCGTTTATTTTAGAAAATTCCTTTCTATGTCCGGCTGTATCCGGACGCCTAACAACGCTATATACGTTGCATTATTAAAAAAAAAAAACAAAAAAAACTGTTATAATTATGACACTCAGGAGAATACGAATCGAATGACACTTGACTGTAGAATGAAACATTCTGCCAAGACGTGGCATAATGGCCAATAAACCTTTGCCTTTTTTAATTATTAAAAAAAAGGTGAAAAGTGAATCGCGCGGGAAGTAAACAAAATGTAGTCGCGAAATAGTGCTCAAGTAAATTTTACTTCTTACTAATATTATAAATGCGAATGTTTAGATGTATGTTAGTAGGTATCTCCAGAATAGATCCCGCTGAAATTTGTTATAGATATAGAACATAGTCTGGAAGAACACATAGACTACTAATTAAGTGTGTTTATAATTCCGTACGGACGGAGTCGTGTACGTTCTAGTATAAGTGGTTTTAACAACGTTATAAATGCATTTTAGCTATACATTTGTTAAAATCAGGTTCAGTCGTTTAACCTACAGGTGTTACATTATTTCGCGCGTTCAATTTCATTTTGATCAGCTACTAATTTTGACTTGTGTAGTGTCATGTATTCGTATTCTTGATCTGATCGTCATAAATTTAGTGTTCTTTGGTATTTTTAATATCAAATGATTTTATTTAATAGATCTGTTCGTACGTGGGAATGGATGCAGTTGTGTGTTGTGCAGAATCTTTTAACCGTGTAACATCTCCCAGACCTTACCCGCTTACTACTGTTAGGTAAGTCACAAATAGGATGCTTCAAAGAAATATACGTTAATAACTTAGGTATGAATGTATTAGATGATCGAGAGCGTTGGTGGCTCAGGGGTCAAGCATTTGACTTGCAATCTGCAGGTCATGGGTTCGAATCCCGTCATGTACCAATGTGTTTTTCCATTTCCGATTGACATATGTACATTTATCCGACATTCTTACGGTGAAGGAAAACATCGTAATGCTGCACATATCTGAGAAATTCAAAGATATGTGTGAAGTCAACCCGCACTTGACCAGCATTGACTATGGCCTAGTCACCCTTGATTTAGAGTAGGCTCCGAGCCCCTCGGTGGTTACGCACAGTGAGCTGATGATGATGATATTTCTAGAACGAGAAAGAAGACGACTCCAGTGATACCAACATATGATTATGTGATAAACAACCGTTTCTTCAGTAACGATGGGACGTGCAAACCGATCGATCCAACACTCACTTCGCCCAAAACTGGACAGAAAGCTTGGGATAGTTAGTATAAAATGTCCTAAATTTGTAAGCACCTAGTACAAGGCTAAGTAAATCTTCAAAACTGGGCGATTTTAGTCGCTAAGAATTACACAATATCATAGAGGTTTGTCTAACCCAGTCCGTGCAGGAATTGTCCCTGCTCGTCCGGTGAAATACCACGACCACACAGAAGACAGGCGTCAAGTGGAAGCTATTCCAACTACAGGCTGATGAGTGTGCGTCCCGGAGAACTAATTTAGTCCTCTTTCCCTTCCCACCCTTTTTCTTATAAGGAAAGGATGGGAAGTGGAAGTGGACTTTCCGGATGAGATGCATGGGAAGGGAAAATATTTTCTTTCTGTGCGTCCTCTCCTCCGTGGATTAAAGGTAGGCAACGCATATGCAATTGCGTATGTCTATGGGCAACAGTCACTTCGCTATATCAGCGATTTCAGGTGACTCGCTCGTTTGCCACCTTATGATATAAAAAAATATAAAGACACAAACACATTTTCCAGACAGACAGACATTTTATCACACACGCTAGAATATGTCAAGCAAATTCAAGCAAAAAATCCACGTTTAACCAGCCCTGACCTCATCTGTTTTCCAGAGTGCATTGAATACCAGGAGAAGCTGGTCTATCCTTGTAAGAAGACCAATTCATTATCAGCAGATACAACCGGAGTTCATCAGGCTCGCGTCACCAGCTGCAATCATGATGTTGACAAGCTTATCATAGGTGGTATGAACGCCAGCAGCGCGGAGTTCCCGCATATGGTAAGTTCTTTTCAGTCTTCTCTCGGTCTCATCATCATCAGCTCACTTTAGGTGCCCACTGAGGGTCTTGTTACCCTAAGTGATGTGACTATATAACACACATATCTTAGACATTCACAGATATGTGCAGCATCACGATGTTTTCCTTCACACTAACAACATAAGATAAATGTACATATGTAACACATTGCTACATGACGGGGTTCGAACCTAGGAGCTGCAGATTGCAAGTCAAGTGCGTAACCTTTGAGCAGGCGACGCTGGATTCTACTACTGTTAATTTTATTTTTGGCGAGCGGCCACCTGAAATCGCTGAAATAGCGAAGTGACTGCCCATAGACATACGTAATTGCATATGCGTTGCCTACCTTTAATCCACGGAGGAGAGGATGCACAGAAACAAAATATCCCCTTTCCATGCATCCTTTCATCCGGAAAGTCCACTTCCACTTCCCATTCTTTCCTTATAAGAGAAAGGGTGGCAAGGGAAAGAGGATTAAATTAGGTCTCCGGGACGCACACTTATCAGCGTGTAGTAGGAATAGCTTCCACTAGAGGCGTGTCTTCTGTATGGTCGTGGTATTTCACTGAGCGAGTCGGGACTATTCCTGCGATGTTAAATCTCGCTCTACCACTGTTAAAATTACTTAAGTTAATAGTTACTGTACAATAGATGTAATAAGCGTCAATAGCCTAATAGTTAAGGGTATGGATTTCCGATCACGAGGTCGGAGGTTCGAATCCCGACATTCGACTATTGTAAACCATAAACACAAGCATAGAGCTTAGTTGAAATGGTTAAAAGAAATATTAGTAAATTTACACAAAAATCTGCTAATATTTTACAAAAAAAAAAAATTTACAGGCATTGCTCGGATACAAACAGAGTGAGGATATACTATGGTCTTGTGGTGGTTCCATTATAAGTGAAAGATATATACTGACTGCGGGACATTGCACTTACAGCGTTGGCGTGTAAGTCACTTTATTACTAACTATCGCCCGCGACTCTATCCGCGCGGAATTAAAAAAAAAACCTTAAAAAGTAGTCTATGTGTTCTTCCAGACTATGTTCTACATCTATGACAAATTTCATCTAGATTTATGCAGTAGTTCTGGAGATACATTCAAACAAACATACATCTAAACATTCGCATTTATATAATACTAGCGGACCCGACAGACGTTGTCCTGTCTACACGTCTTTAATTTGAAAATTTCAAACTTTTTTAAACAAGCTAAAACATTCTGGACAAATTCGACACTGCAATGGTAGCTCCGTCTGTCGGATCCAATGTAAAACATTCCAAAATCAACAACTACTAATAAATTAAAAATTAATTAAAAAAACATTGTCCAGCGGACAAAATTGTGAATCTAAACCATTCCCAGATCCCCTTGAACACACACAAAAAATTTCATCAAAATCGCTCCAGTCGTTTGAGAGAAGTTCACTGACATACACACGCACAGAAGAATTATATATATAAAAATTTACTATATTTTAATTACACGACTATCTATTCTTATAAAACAAAAAATTAAAAAAAAAACTAACCACTAATCTAGCTTAAATATCTGACCTTATGGAACATAAATAAATAAAAATTCCAGAGGTCGTGTGAAGTATGCCCTAGTTGGTATACTCAGCAGGTTAGAGATAACCGAAGGTTCCCAGCGGTATGACCTGGAGATGCCAATCAGACATCCAGACTACAAACCACCTTCAAAATACAATGACATTGCGTTACTCAAGACTACTACAGAGTAAGTATATACTTATTTTTTCAAATTTTAATATTTAATCACGTGAGTAAAAAATCACAAAACATCACGGGTTAATCGAAAATAACATATCACGTGTATTTATTTACTAAAAATAGTTTTAAAAATCACAAAATATCACGGGTCAGGAGATCGAAAATCACATATCACGTGTATTTATTTGGTAAAAGCGGTTTTGAAAATCACGAAATATCACGGGTTAGGAGATCTAAAATATATCACGTGTCAGACTGTTGAAGTAAATTTTAAATTACATTAATATTTTTTTAATTATTTTTGTGCATGCATGCGTATTAATGAAGAAAAGAGAGAGAGGTGTGTCGGAAACGTGACAAAAGTTTATGTTTTCTGCCTACCCCACTGGGTTACGGGCGTGGGTTATTGTTTATAATACTTTAAAAATTGCATTATTATTTCAAACAAAAAAAACACGTAATTTTACTTTGAACAAAAAAAAACATATACAGGATGTTCAAAAATTTGTCGTTTTTTTAAATTTTTTTTTCCTGATTATTAAAAAATATAATTGTAAAATCCAACTAGGATAATACTAAGCGATACTGTAGTACCGGCGTGTCTGCATGTAGACAGGAACGCGGATGACACACGTGCGTTAGCTTCAGGCTGGGGATTTACTAAATACAGGGGCAGTACATCTGATGTACTACAGAAGGTAAGTTAAAATAAACCATTTACGTATACAAGAAATTAAAAAAAATACTTAATTAGTAGCCTATGTGTTCTTCCAGACTACGTTCTACGTATATGCTAAATTTCAGCGAGATCCATGCAGCCGTTCTGGAGATATCTTCTTACAAACAGACATACAAACATTCGCATTTATAATATTAGTAAGACTAGCTGTCGCCCGTGACTTAGCGCATAGAGAAATATCCTATAATATGCACTTGGACATCAGTTCCCGTCAAAGTTCCCAGTTGTTCCGAAGATTACCCGGAACGAACGGATTAAAGGACATACAGACAGACAAAATCATGTCTACAAAATATGATTATCAATATTACATACAGACACTACAATTTTTTTATATATATAATTTTATTTCTATGTCGTTACTTAGAGAACAGAACATATCCTTTCGTCAAATCCACTTCCCCTTCCCATCTTTATATTTTCTCACTGGTTTTTAGTATTGGGTATTGCCTTTCAGCTTTTTTTTAAAATAAACAAATAGTATTATTAATATGCAGGTAATTCTAGAGAAGTTCTCTGAGAGTGAATGTTTAAGACTGTATCCAGGTAACAGATATTTGAGACATGGCTTTGATCCAACAACTCAGATCTGTTACGGAGACTGTGATGAGTCTAAAGATACTTGTCAGGTGAGTTTTCACTACAGATACCTTCAGATATTCCAAAGAATCGACTACAATGAAATTCGTATTAATTGCTAGCTTTTACCTGCGACTCCGTCTGTTATAATCTTAATCAGATGCTAAATTTCAGTGACATCCATTTAGTTGTTCTGGAGATATGTGATGATAATATCCATCCATCTATACATACAAACATTTGCATTTACAATATTAGTAAACTTAGCTGTCACACGCGAATCCCTCCGCGTAATATTAAATAAATACTTAGTAAGTAGCCTACGTGCTTTTCTAAACTATTTTCTACATCTATGACGAATTTTAGCAAGATCGCATTTTAATATTAGTAAGATTTTTGTTTCTGTTATAAAAATACTAGCTGTTGCCCATGACTCCGTCCACGAGGATTTAAAAAAAGATTTCTAAGCTATGTTCTACAGCTATGACAAATTTCATCAAGATCCATTGATCCGTTCTGAAGATATCTTCTAACAGACATACATCTAAACATTCACATTTATAATATTAGTAAAATGTATGACAAATGTAATTTATAATACAGGGTGATAGTGGAGGACCATTACAACTAAAGAATCAGAAGATCAAATGTATGTATACGATAGTTGGTGTAACATCTTTTGGTTCAGGATGTGGCTTGATAGGTCGCGCTGGAGTTTACACAAAAGTGACAGCTTATTTACCGTGGATTGAAAGTATTGTGTGGCCCAAATAATAAAAGACTAATACATATTGCCTTTTATTTCTTATTTTAGTATTATAAACCTGACCTTATCCCTACAGAGGATCAGCACAGGATGTACTCCATACATCTCTATCAGCTGACATATCTGAATCCACCTCCTTCTTACATATCCTCTTTCACACAAAACTTTCTTTGGTCTTCTACCTTTGTAGTCATCCACATTCAATCTCATTACTTTTTTGTTTATATCATCATTCCTTTTCATAACATGTCCAATTTCTCGATCATTGGCGTTAATTTCAAGCTTCCTCTAATATAATTCTATATTTGTAAAAGTAATAAAGCGTCGGTGGCTGGGGAGTCAAACACTTGTCTGCAGGTCCTGGGTTCTAATCCCGCCATGTACAATGTGTTTTACATATATACACTTATCCTATGTTGTTAGTGTGAAGGAAAACGTGGTGATGCTGCACATATCTGAGAAAGACAAAGATATGTGTGTAGTCAACCCGCACTTGACCAGCGTGATTGACTATGACCTAGTCACATAACTTAGGGTAGGCTCCGAGCCCCTCAGTGGGGACGTATAGTGAGCTGATGATGATGATGACGATAAGTAATAAAAATATTATTTACAAAAATATTTAATTTATCACTACATTGCAAATATAGTGTTAACCTCAAATATATCCGAAGATCGTTTGGATTTCTGAAACAATAAATTTATTTTAATACTTAAAAAAAAAAAATTACCCATCTTACCGTTGGGTTTTGAGACCAACATTTCTGTCTAAAACATATCATTTTAAACCAAGATTTCGGTCATAAAAACCCATGAATAGAAGTATTTGTATGTAAGTTTGTATGTAAATTATATTGGGACATCCTGTAGCTTCAACTACCGAACCGATTTTGATGATTGAGGCGTCATTCTATTCGTATTTTTCCCCTGAGTGTCATAGATACAGGAAGTTGGGATTTTTTTTAATGAATTTTCTCACCTGCTTTGGCACTAAACAACAGCAGTCTCCTCCACAGTTTTGTCCGCAGGCCTCTTTTGTACAAACGATTTCTTGATCATCTGCACGTCAAGGTTAAGTTTCTAACCATAATATCTTACCGAAGTATCGTAAATGCGTTTGTTTTTTTTATATTATAAGTTGGCAAACGAGCGAGCGGCCACCTGAAATCGCTGAAATAGCGAAGTGACCGTTGCCCATAGACATACGCAATTACATATGCGTTGCCTACCATTAATCGACGTAGGAGAGCATGCACAGAAAGAAAATATTTTCCCTTTCCATGCATCCTCTCATCCGGAAAGTCCACTTCCCCTTCCCATCCTTTTCTTATAAGAAAAAGAGTGGGAAGGGAAAGAGGACTATATTAGGCCTCTGGGACGCACATTCATCAGACGAAACGCGGAATTGCTTCCACTTGACGCCTGTCTTCTGTGTGGTCGTGATATTTCACCGGGCGAGCCGGGCCAAATTCGTGCGAACATGTTAAAGCGGGCTCTACCACTGTTAAGATTGTTATTTACTTAGTATTTACAATTTATCTAGATTAACGCAAAATAAAGAAAACATACCATTTGGAAATCGTCTAGATGTGTGCGTGTCAGCTAAGTATGCTAAAAAGTTGATTAAATTAATTAATAATACAGTTATATTTTAATTGATAATTTAATATATTCAAAATACCTGTTAAAACTGCAAATATTATAACAAAAGTTTTTAACATTTTATAATTCACGCGCCAAATGTGACATTTCAAAATGGCGGATTTTCTTACGGCGACCGTTTAAAACGCGTATTTTATAGTTGATATTATCTTTAGGATTACTCAATTAAAATTTATTGTACCTTATCGAAAGAAATAAATAGAAATTTAAATAAAATAAATGTTATTTCTCGCTTTGATGTGTTGATTTGATAAGAAATATACGATATAAAATTGTCATGATCAGCTCTCTATAGGCCCCCACTGAGGGTCTCGGAGCCTACCCTAAGTTAACACATATCTTTGACATTCCTTTACAGATATGTGTAGCATCATCATGTTTTCCTTCACAGTAAGAACGTAGGATAAATGTATCATCATCATCAGCTCACTATACGTTCCCTCAGAGGGGCGAGCCTACCCTAAGTTAGTGGTGATTAGGCTGTAGTCAACCACTAGCCACTGGCTGGCCCAGTGAGAGTTGACTTTACGCATATCTTTGAATTTCTCAGATATGTGCAGCATCACGATGTTTTCCTTCACCGTAAGAACGTTGGATATATGTACATATGTAAATCGATTAATGAAAAACACATTGGTACACTGGATTCTAACGTATGACCTGCAGATTTCTAGTCAACTGCTTATCTCCTGAGACACCAACGCTCTTCAAATAAACCTACCTACTAGTTATAGATGTAGGCCTTAGGCCTAAGGACTAAGCTTGACATACCTAATACACAATGGCTTAGGATTAATATAATTAAATCATCATCATCATCAGCTCACTATACGTCCCCACCGAGGGGCTCGGAGTCTACCCTAAGTTAAGGGTGATTAGGCCATAGTCAACCACGCTGGCCAAGTGCGGGTTGGTTGACTTCACACATATCTTTGAATTTCTTCTCAGATATGTGCAGGTTGCATCACGATGTTTTCCTTCGCCGTAAGAACGTCGGATAAAAGTACATAATGTAAATCGGAAATGGAAAAACACATTAGTACATGGTGGGATTCGAACCCAGGACCTGCAGATTGCAGGTCAAGTGCTTGACCACTGAGCCACCGACGCTCCTAATTACGACGACGCATAATTAAATACGACATATAAAATAAATATAATTTATTGATTTTTACAAAATTTCTTTCCGTTACACTGATTCTAATTCCATTTAGTTGATTTATTCTTCATCGAAATCGAATTTAGACTTTCCATTATCCAGAATGTTTGTCCACCAATCCAGATCTTCTGGGGTATAAGCTTTGTATACATCTGGAATATGGCTTGGCATCTGGAAATAAAAACAATCGAAACTGTAAAGGCTACGATATCTTCAAATAGGTACTGTTAGGAAGAAAATCCGAAAATGTTTCAGAGTATTGACTCAACACTAGCTTTACTAAAATGTCGACGTTTATGTTCCCTCACTATTCATTCTGACACTGGACTTTGTAACGAAAGCACGTCATTCGCGACAACTGATTCTAACTAATACAGTCTGAAATTACAAACATTTTCTATTACAGTATTCTTCCCCATATGCTAACAATTGTAGGCTATTTATGCGCTTAAGATTCTTCGTATCCAAGACAACGTAAATCCTCGCTAAGGTATCACAATATTAGAATTTTTTATATCGCGTCGCCGACGTTTCTTTCAACGGCAAAGTCGCTCGCAACGTGAGCAAAGTCGCAGCAACTTTCAAAATGGCGGTGCAAATACAATTGATATAGCTATGCCTGTACTGACTGAATAGATTCGCGTCGACGATTCAATGTTGCACGCAACGCTAATCTCACGACGCAACTATACTATAGTTTCGAAGATTTACGTTGCCTTCTACTACTGTCTGACTTCTGTTCTGTAGGGTAAAAGAGTGAATTGAATCTGATGAATGAGATATCAAATTTCAATTTGGGTTTACCTCAATGGTTTCTGAACGTTTCTTCCTCAAATAATTAAAACAGCAAGTCCTGAATCTTCTGGTGCCGCAAGATGATGCACATTCTACACCGCATGAGTTGCAGGACAGTCCCGCAACAAACATGTTAGCTGTAAAATAAAAAAAATATTTCAAAAATGGTCTAGACACTGACTACAGACGGCGAGTGTACGACAGTAAAATTGGCAATTCAATGCTCAACAAAACCATTAAATTTGGTAGTCAACGAAAAAATCTGTAAATAAGATTATTGTGAAGAATTTTTTTAATATCCGTAATAAGTAATCTTAACCATGGCTACCCTTTTGGTAATGGAGATCTTTGAAAGATCCTCTGCCTTCTGATAAGATAGGGTTATGAATAGTTAGAAATAGAAAATAGTATTGGGATCTCCGAGGAACGGAATAAACCATGGCTACCCTATATTCATGAAACTGAGATTTACGAAGAACCTTAAATATGGTTACCCTACATAACCTTTATACGTATTGAAGTTGGAAAAGATAATTTTTATAGTAGTTTTTTTCAAATTTGGACATTTTTTTAATTATAAAAATATAGTTAAAAGTTACGTTAATTTCATTTTACATATAAATATTTAAATTAATAATAGTAATAGTTTTTTTTTATATAATAAAATTCACAAACCGATAATCATGAAAAACACAACGACGAGTAATTTGAACATTTTACGAGGTTAACTTTTAGCGGTCAATTTGACAGTTGCCACAAGATGGCTGACGTTGCGAGGGATGATTGTTGAATGAAAAATATCTGGAACGTACAGCTTTTTATATGAAAACAATAGTTTGCTTTGTATATGGATCGACAAACAATACTTTAGTTGTGATGTCATTACAAGTGTTTTATAAATGTAAAAGAAATATTTGCGTACGTTATTTGTATACAATTTTAGTATAAGAAATAGAAAACGTACTTTATATAGAAGTACTAGCTGTTACCCGCGACTCCGTCTGCGCGGAATTAAAAAAATAAATAATTTGTAGCCTATGTGTTCTTTCAGACTATGTTCTAAATATAAGCCAAATTTCAGCGAGATCCGTTCAGCAACGAAGATACCTTCTAACAAACTTTCATCCATCCATCTAAACCAGTGGTTCCCAAACTTATTTTGTCTACTGCCCACTTTGAGAATAAATATTTTTTAGCGCCCCCCATATTTTCACATATTTAAAAACCACTATAACTTCAAATTAAATTAATTAATTATTGTGACCTATATATGTATATTAACGGAGAATTGTAAAGGAAACTTTTACTATAACCCGCAACTTGAGACCTGCAGCGCACACAAGGGGGCGTTATCGCACACTTTGGGAAAGACTTAAACATTCGCATTTATAAGTATTTAGTAAGATAAGATAAATTTTATTCTCATTCCAGAATAGTGCGATTCTCGTGAAATGTCATGTCTTTCAAAGTGTTTTAGAACGTCTGTCCTTTTTTATAGAGGCGCAAAAACAAGTAGCTAGTGAATCTCTTAAAATAGCTAACGCCGTTAGACATCCGCAACACCAGAGGAACCACAGATTCATACGGCCTTTACGGGGTTGAACGCTCTTTTCTTGAAGGTCCCTAAGTCTGTTTGGAAATATTTCTGTGGATATTGTATTCCTCAACACATCTTGGCAGTATTTCCAACACATTACGGCTTAGAGTCCTTCAAGATGAGACCGCGACGCATCTGCAGTTCCTCTGGTATTGCGGATGTCAATGGGTCTCGATAATAACCTCGGTGTGATACCGGAGGACTTATTTTAGTCCTCTTTACCTTTTTAGTCATCTTATAAGAAAAGGATCGTGGAAATGGATTTTCATGCTAAGGAAATGCATGGGAAAATATTCTCCATCGATCAAAGGTAGACAACGAACTACAATTGCGTACGTCTATGGGCAATCTCTTCGCTATTTCAGCGATTTCAGCCCCATGCTCGTTTGCCATCTTATAAGATAAAAAATCTAGATGTTATCATTCGTTTGTCCTCTTCTGCTAAGAAAATAATAAACTTAAAAAGGTGATACTATTGAAATGTTTCGAAAGGTTTCAATGCCCTTACTTCAAGAATATATGCAGACTCATTTCGACAGACAAAAGCACAAAATTACTCCTTGAAAGTATACTAGAATTTAGTAACTGATTACAGTCGAACCCAGATAACCAGGGATCCAAAGGAATAGCGATATTTTTCTCACTCATAGGTTTCTCTCTAACCCCAAGTTAGCTTATGTTATCAGTCGGGACCTAATGACTCGCTTATAGAGATTTCATACTTATCTAGGTTTGACTGCATATTGTTTCAATCATCATCAACCTGCCCTTTATTGCCTGCCTTTTTTCACAGCATCGCTGGCTCAGTTGACTTA